CAGCGTTGTGGAAATTCCGGAGGGTATCCTGATTCTGGGGAGAAAATGAGCAGCACAGACTTTTCTTTATAGATTTGAAGGCTAGAAGAGAAAATTGTGACGATCTCGTCTGACATCTGGTGTAACAAATGCCAAATAATTGCACCCGGCAATTGCTGCATTAAGTCATAAATAGTCTAGAGCATCTCTAAGAAAAACACCCATTCCTGGTTGCAAGACTCAAGGCAAGTGACCCCAAAGATGCAAAATGACCTTTCAAGGCCACCCCCCGATCACACAAAAATGTCCAAGATTAAAGAACACAAATTCTACTACTTGATCTCCTCCTACACTCTTGCCTCCACTGCAGAGAGAACTATTCACACACAAACCTGGTATGTTGCAGGTCTTGAATCTTGGCTTTACTCTATATTTGTGCATATGCAGAATGTGGCCCCATATATCAGAAGAACATTTTTCATCCTCTCTTCCAAGTGGAAGTATAACATTCTGACAGCCGTCAACGAAAGGAAAACATGTGATGTGATCAACACACATTTGGGGCCAGTGTTGGACTGACAAGGTCTTCAAGTATCAGTTTTCATGTCACAAGAAAATTCACACAAGTTTCATATATTTTTGTGCTGCTAGTAGGCACAAATGTGCTAAATAGGCGACAGTCAATAATTCTCCTCTGATTCCTTCATAACAACTTGGTGTTACTAGAGAACCATTTACCATTCATGCTTCTGGATGACAAGCCTGATTTTCCCAGTGCTGACATTTTGTTAGCAGCAAAAGTTATTTCTCCCCCTTGTAAAAGTGACAGCACAGTGCCACCAAGAGGGGACCAGATTTCATGCACTTCAATCTGCAGCTGCATTTGTAACTCAGCAGTTTGGTCCAATGCCAATAGAAAGATTAATTCTGGGGTTGGTCCAGTCTCTGTTGGAAGAAAACCTTACTTCTATCGACATGCTCAGGGCTTTAGGAGTGTTTGATGTTAACCACACTTTGCAGGAACAGTTGATTCCAGCAATTTACACTTTATGATCCTGACTGTGCTATCACAACAGCATAAATCTGGCATAACTCTCATGAAGTCAAGCTGTGAAATTGGAGAGAGATCAGAATCAAAAGAGAATCAAAGTTAGATAAGGGAATTGTGGGGAAGCTGGACAGTCATTTCTTCCCCTTCCCAAAGAAGAGTTGAGCTTGTTCTGATGCAGTTTGGATTCAGATTAATTTTCATTCTCTCCTTTGGCTAACAGTTCAGGACAGGTTTTCAGGCTTCCGTTTTTGTGTCAGCAAATTGTGGCTAGAAATATGGTCACCTAGAGATACCTGACGGCACATGCAAAGGAAGTACTTAGAACTCCAGGCAAAATCATTTATTTACATGTCCAAATCACTGTAACAGCACCTGGAAGTACATGTTGGTGGTAAAATCTGGCTGAACATCTACACAGCACAGCCCTGTATGGATTGAAACACCCCTAGCAAACCCGAGCCTGCTCAGTTTGTAATTTGAGGCCTCATTGTGGTTTCCTCTCAGATATAATACTTAGGGTTAGGCTCCATGACAAATAGCAGGGTGAGCAGCTGCAGCAGACAGACATGTCAAGTCTTGGTCATCCGGTGTGAGACTCACCATTGGCACGTCTCTCTCTCTCTCATGCATTCTACACTCATCTCTCTCATCTGGAGTAAATGCATAAAGATTCAAACGTTTTTACTCAGGCGCTGCAAGAGACAGCAAAACATCTAAGGCCTGGGGCCTGGAGGTTGGAAAGCTGCTTTCCAAGCTTCTGTATTGTGATAACCAAGATGACAGGCCCACAGGGAGAGAGGAAGCTACTTGTGGGTGTCTCTACTTCATGGCCAAAAAAATATGAGTTTGTCTCAAAGTTAGCAGGACTTGCTCAGAAGTTTGCAGATTCTGCCAAATACAGTTCAAACTTTAAACTCCACTGGATGAACTCATGTCCGGAGGGATCTCCAACCCTCCAGGTCTTTGTTCTAACCAGCAGAGAGCTGTTTTTATTAAAACCCATTGGCTTGCACTGCATATAGAAATCACACACATGCCCTAGACTTTGCTATAAGGTTCGATAGCTAAGTGTTTCATATGCAATATTAAGCAGGGTACGTTTTAAAACAACCTATTAAATTCTGGCTGGATTAAAAACCTGGACTATTGGATGTCGTCAAGGAACCAAGATGAGAGTTCGTATCTCAAGCAATGACTTACCCAGCGACCTGAAAAGTGTCACTCTTTGGGGCTCAGGGGAGCAGGTAGGATTTTCTTGTGTTCTTCATCTCCAGCTCTCAATGGCAGAGTTGGCCCTCAACACCTCTACCCAGGCCGCAAGAGTGAGCTGGCCATTCTGACATGATCCTCAATGGACTAAGAAGGTTGGCATCGAGCAACCATTAGCAACACAGAAGCCCCTCTCAGCCTGCGCCATACCAGAGCCCTTGGCCAAAGTTGGTCGTCATCCAATCAGATTTATTTACAGCTACAAACCTATTGTCCCAGCACAACCTGTCAAGACTCTCTTCTGCAGGAAGAACTAATGTTCCTCTATTCCTCACCAATTCTTTTCTGAGACCTCTCCATTTCTGCTAACTATCGCCACATCAAGAAGTTGCAGCCTTCTGGCTGAGGGAACTTTTGTCTACTCTGTTCTGATTCTGATTCACTGTGATCTTTATGCCCTGCTGCTGCAAGCTTCCCTCCTCACTTGTCACTGGCTTTCTGAGGCCCCAGCTGCTGCTGTTTGGTTAGGTGGACTACAGCCGAGGGCCAGCCACTCGACATTCCTTGCTGTTTAGGCAATATTGGCTTGAACGGCAGAGCGGGAAGCTGCTTCAAGCGAAGACGAAAGCCAGAGAGCTGAGCTAGGGTTGCCAGATGGTTTCAACAAAAATACCGGACACACTTGACATTACATCACAATCTACATTACATTTTATTTAGAAAATACCAGACATTTATATTTTCTCATTCATATTTTCTCAATTTGTTTCCTGAACAGAAAGCTCAAATACTGGACTGTCCGGTTCAAAACCGGACACCTGGCAACCCTACACTGACCTGGGAGGGGTCTACTTGGCGCCACGCTGGTTTGTCCCAGGCCTACAATGTGACAGAAACTGCATGTGGAAGTGGAGAGGCCGTACCTGGGGGGACTTCAGTGGGAGAGGGGCTCAGAACTCATGAACCCCAGGATGCAAAACTACCCAGAGTTGCAGCGGGAAGGAGGTTGAGGAGCCATGTTTTTTCCTTCGCTGGGAAGTCCCACACAGCACCAAAGCTCAGCCCTATATCATGTTGTTGTTGCTCCTAGCCACGTGGCTGCATGATTATGTCAGAGTTGGGGGATGCCAGAGAGGCCCAAAGGGTCCAAGCTGCCGGAGGGAATACTGGGGGTGATGCCCACAGGTCCCTCTGTCTTCAGGGAGAAGGGATGTCGGGATGTTAGGTTTATGGCGAGGGGTCTCCCCTCTCCGTGCAGTGCGGTCTAGATGCTAGACGAGCAGTGTCTCCCCCACTGAGTGGGGTCTCTCTTGCTGTTGGGATGGGCCACCTGGAGCAGGTTCTGAAGATAGACCAGGGTCCCTCACTAACCCACACCCTCCCCAGCCCCAGAGCTCTCATTGTACCATACTCTCTTTGTCTTTATCTTTTGGTTTGGTTCCTACTGCGATGACCCCAGTTAGTACGTGGCTTCCATTGAACTGACAGCCTACATCCACCAGAGGGCAGCACAGTCTACTGGCCATAATAGCACTGGGAGGTAGGCATTTGTGGAATCTAATCCTGGTTCTAAACTTCGCTGCCTCCGTTTCCCTGTCTGTAAGACAGGGATAGCAATACCTGCCCCTCCAGAATTCGGACTAGGTTGCAGAGCACTTTGGATGCACCAACTCAGTGTAACCCAGCAGACTGAGAAAGGGAAAGTGAAGTCTGCTCTACAGCCTTAGCTGAGGGCCAGTTGGCTCATGCAGCAGAACAGGGGCGGGGAACCTTTTTTGGGTCAGGGGCCACAGACCCACAGAAAAATCAGTCGGGGATCGCAAACCCATGAGAAACAAAACTAAAAACAACAAAAAATCTTCATTGCCCTGGCCCCCGTTATTGAGAAGAAGAAAGACACCCCCTACATTCTCCTCACACACCAGAGTAGTGTGATTCTGTGTGCTCCAGCCCTACAGGGAGATGGTAGAGGGGCTAGAGCATCAACTTGAGCTCCTGATGTTGGGGGAGGAACCCCAAGCCTCAAGGGCTGGATCCAGGCAAGCCGGGGGCTGCATCTGGCCCCTGGTTCTCTACCCTTGTGATAGAGGCACGTGGATTTAGCTCCTAAGGCCCCAGGTTCAATCCCACTTGCCAATGACCAAGGTTCGTCAGCTCCACATAAGCATTAAGTGACATTTTTTTTGCTGGCTGAGAGTTAAGGCCCATAGTTAGCTCAGAGAATGTAGTTTCCCTTCTTAAACTCAAACTATTACCACCACCATTCATGCTAGTACTGGCAGGGGGCAGCTAGCATGACTCCGCTTCCTGGCTTCTACAGACACTCTGCTGCTGTGGGAGACAGACGAAAAAGTCTCGAATGAAAAAGCAAAGGTCCAGCCAAGCAGCTGCTCCCACACCAAACAGAACCCCTGCTCACTGCTGTGTTGGTCTGCATGCTGGACTGGGCTAGAGCACACTGACCGCGTGTCCTTCCTTCTTCTTCTCTGTCTCTGGAGCTGGCTGGAAATCGTCCAGCTCTTCTTTGTCCATCTGGAGTTCTACCTTGTTCCTCTTAGCCATGATCTGATTGATCTCCATGAAGGTTTTGCCCTTGGTTTCAGGGACAATGAAGAAGATGTAAATGGCGGTGGCCAGGCAGATGGCAGAGAAGACAAGGAAGCAATAGGCTCCAAGCCCTTTCTGGAGGAATAAAAACCAGAGGAGGAGGAGTCAGGGAACATGTAAGAGATGCAGGTTATGATAAGTTGTGGGCTTTATGCGGCTGTTCACATGTCACACGGCTTGGGAGCACAAAACTCTGCAGTAACTGTACAAAAGGCAGCAGTATAGACCCTTATTTACTTTAATTGTAACCATGTGCAAGGTTCTGGCTTCACATCCATGGGGCCTGATGGCTATGAACAGGCACAGTCTGGGTTGCAGACCTGATTCTTATGTGTTGCGCCTTGGGTTGTTCATTCACACCCGTGCAAAGCAAGCAGCAAGCACCCCCTGTTCTGAGGGGTTTTACACCAGCTTTGCACAAGTGTGAAAGACAAGATCAGGCAGGAGAGGTCAAGCACCATCATGGCACAAGCTGCCCACACAGTAATGCCAATACATGTCCATGCTGAGTGAGGGGGATCCCTTCTCCTTGGAGCATCTGAATCTCCAAAGCCCATTTTGAGCCCAATTCAACGCTCACTGAAATCAGTGGGAGTGTGTTAGGTTCAATAAGCACCAGACCAGGCTGTCAGTCCTTCTGTCTGGCTAAGTATTTACATCACACTCAACCTTTATGTATCACTCCCTTGAGCACCTTAAAATGCTCAAGAAAATTTCAGTGTTCCCCTTTAAAACTGTCACCCTACAGGCAGGAAGGGGCTTCTAGCCTTGAGTGACAAACCCTTAAGTGACTCTGGAGATTGCTCCCCACCAATATACCCTTTTATTTTTTCCACCCATGTGAAGAATGCATTTTCTTATGTGCACGGAGGCATGTGTGAATGTGCACCACCAGTAGAAACTTCTGCTGCCAGCTGTGGGCGCTCTGCTAATCAAATGGGCAGCATTTGAATCCCTACTGAGTAGCCGCCCAGTGTACAGGGAACACTGCTCCCCACTCACCTGCATGTAGCTGAAGACAAGCCCCACCGTGAAGTTGGAGAGCCAATGCACAGATCCACCCACCATGAAGGCTGCAGGCCGGGATGACTGAAGGAACATTTCAGTGATCATCACGGAGGGGATTGGACCTTGAAGAAAAGGAAGAGTTTGAACACTTCTGCAGCCATTTCTGTTGACCAAATCCTTAGAAGGGACTACACTGAATGGACAATAGGAGGCAATGGTTTCTAAAGGTACGTCAACACAGCAGGGCAAAAGTTGAATTAAGATACACAACTTCAGCTACATCAACTGCGTACCTGAAGTCGAAATAGCTGAATTCAGTTTTTGGAGCTGTCTACACCGCAGGAAGGCAAAGGAAGAACACTCCTCCTCCGACTTCCCTTACTCCTAGTGAAATGAGGGTTACAGGAGTTGGAGTAAGAAGCCCTCCAGCTTGACATTATTTTGAAATAACAGTTTGCTGTATCGATGCGCTTTGTTATTTCCAAATAACGTCAGTTATTCCGAAGTAACGCTGCTGTGTAGACGTACTCTAAGGAACTAGTGTTTACAAGTACCTGGATAAACTAACCACAGGATGAAATGATAAAAGCAGAAAGCAGAGAGGTGTAGCTAGCCTTTGTCACTGTTATCCCTCCTGCCTTTCCCTTTCCCCAGGCGGAATTCCTCAAGTCTCCCACTGCTAGACTGGGCCTGCATTAGCCTACCCAGCAGGTCTGACAGGATTCTCTGTGATCCCTGTTACCCAGTGATCAGATGGGCTTCTTAAACCAAACTGTTTTTTGTTCTCACACTGAGTACAAGAAGGAAGATCAAAAAGATTTTAAAACAGCGGTGGGGAACCTATAGCCTGAGGCCCAGATCCAGTCCCCGGCTTGCCTGGATCTGGCCCCTGAAGCAAGGCTCCACCCTCCCAGTATCGGGGAGCTGTGCTCAAACCCTGTTGCCCACCTTCTGCCCAGACCACACACGTGACTCCTGTACCCTACCAGATCCACCAACTCCCAATCCACTCCTGCCCCCTTCTTCCTGCCCACACCCCACACCCCAAGCCTGCTTCCCAGCAGTGCCCTCCCACACCCTGAACTCCTCATTGTTGGCCCCACCCCAGAACATAGGGGGGCCCACAAAATCTATTAGCATGGGCCCCCCAGGCTCTGGTGTGTGAGAGGAATGTGAGGTTTTCCTGTGGGTCAGCGGTTCCTGATCCACAAAAGGTTCCCCGCTCCTTTTTAAAACAACAAAGAGACTGCCCTTGTGTCTATCTTCCCTAAGGGCCCCACTTCTCCTCCGATAACCCAGGCAGGTCTGACTTCTTCCCATACGCCACGTGCCTGTGCCAATCTGGTTTCTCAAACAGGTATCGCACCACAACTGCTCTGCTTCCCCCTGGAGAAAGTCCTGCTGTATGTAGCTGGGCTACTGTGTCCACACCGCTGTATTTGGCAGTGCTCTAGCATATCAACACCAGAAGCCACGGGGCTGAGTGGGCAGCAGAGCGGGCGCACCCTCAAAGTGAGGATCTCTGATGGGGCAAAATGGCTTCCTTGAGGGCAGGCGGCTGGTGGAACAGTCGCTGCTGTCTGTCTCTGCTAAAGAAACTGAGCAGTGGTGACGTTCCTGGTGGGTCAGGGATGGGCAAAGCTCCCTGATGGGCAATCTAAGAACCTCACTGCCACCCATAGCTGGCAGAGAAAGGCACAGGGGGCCTCTGTGAGGGGGCTCTCAAACCTGTGGCATTTGAGTGTTCATGTGACATGGCAGCATCATTCAGGTTTGGCCCAATGGCTGACAACCCCACTCACTCAGATTTAGCCTGGCCACCCCCCTGTCCTGTCAGAAGGAAGGCTGGGCTAGTCCAGAGTGGCCCTGTGACTTTGCATGCTAGGCCAGAATCCCCAGAGCAGGGAGTCGGGCCCAGGAGCTACTGCTGCATGGTGAGCGTGGGTCAGGCTAGTTCTACAACCCCTGATCCCCCCACAGTCCCACAGCCTAAGTTTCCAGGAAGAGGGGTGGCCTCCATTTTGGATTTTGCCCCACATCTCCCCCTCTGTGCAGTTCTGAAAAACCCATTCATGTAGCTAGTTACATCAGGGTCAAAAGGAAATGGGGGAGAGGGAGGTGGGATCATTCCTTGGCTGGGAGTTTACAGCCTAGGCAGAGCGCAATTAGGGAAGATGAGATCTCACCAACACACCCCTCCCGGAAACTGCCACTCTGCAAGGAGAGCCTCCCGTGTCCAGCTGGCATTCCCCAGCCAGTCTGACCATTCTTGTAGGAGGGGTAAGGGGGGGGAGAGGATGGCAGTTTCCACTCCCCAGTGAAATCCCTGCAGGAGCTTTGACTGAGAGTCCGCTGCAGCAGTGTTAGGAAGGCTCCTTCAGCAAACCAACACAAAGCCCCTCTGCAGCAACCAGGCAAGGCAAGTGTAAGGAGTTACACACCCAGGACAATGTCTCCACGATCATGTCACACACTGCTGTCTCACACTTCTTGGCTAGGGCCTAACCAGGCTCACCTGTAGGGCTGGCAGATAGTTTAACCAAAAATACCGAACACCCTCCCCTCCCCCCCCCAAAAAAATGGGAAAAAAATTCTGTTGAGGAAAAAAAAAGGGGGAGAACAAAGTGGAAAAATAAAAAAATCAGCACGGCCCCTTTAAAAGGAGGCGGCCATCTTGTTTTTCTGTTCCAGCCACAAGACAAGCCCCTGCGGAACCAGGTAAGCGGAGGGGGTGAGCCTCCAATGGGGGAGCCCGGGGGACCTGGCGGGGTTGCTGGGCCCAGTTGCTGAGTGTGTCCGTAGGGTTGCCAGGTGTTTGGTATTTTCGCCTCCTGGCAGGGGAAAAAAAAATCAGAAACTACCGGACATTTTATGTGTTCGGTATCTTCTGAATTTTTTTTACCGGTCAGGAGGCGAAAATACCGGACTGTCTGGGTCAATACTGGACACCTGGCAACCCTATTCTGGGCACAGCCTGGGCAGAATTTGGCTGATTGGGGATAGCTGGGCCCTCCCCCCCCCCCCCCCCCCGTTGGCCCACTTGTAGCATATAAATGCAAGATAACAGCATTCAGAGTAAACCAGTGCGATTCACCCTCAAGGAAGGGTTTGCTCCAAAACGTACTGGGCACGTCTCAGACACCAGCAAGACTGTGTCTGTGCAGATCTTGAAAATATAAGATCACAACTCTCTCTTACCAATATACTTACACACTCCACAGAGATCCTCCGTTAGCTGTCATAAGAAGGGGCCTGCATGCCTGGGGCAGAAAACCCTATTCCCTGGCCCATGCATGCAGCCTAGCTGGCAAACAACAGGCCTGTATCATTACAGCTAGGTCACTCAGCCAACACACTAGCTGATCTCTATATCAGCTTAAGTTGCTGTTTAAGGCGTAATGTCTTTGTTATACCGCCCTGACGCAGGGCATCCGAGCGGCCTGGCACACCTACTCGCTCCAATGGCGTGTCCGATGACATAGGCGACGACGCAGACTATGCTGAGGTATTTCATCCACCAGACAGTGAACTGAGGGAAATTAAGGCATCGAATTACAGTCGGTTCTCTCCTAACATGGCCCACAAAGTCAAGGTGCTGTTTGCAAGGAGACCTTGGGAAGCTGTAAGCCCCAGGGGGCTGCTTTGAGTCTGGCTGAGATCGTGATGGAGTCGGGCCAGGCAGCATCACTACCTGAGTGACGCTTACATCCAGCGGGAGCCTCCCTTCCTATGAGCAGGCCCACGGGGCTCTACCAGAGTTGCACAGGGTCAGACGTGCTAGGGGGAGGGAGGGAGAAGCAACCCAATTCAGCTCTGAGTGCACTCGCTGCTCACCCAACCATGTAGTTAATGGAAGTGCTGCTCTTTTTCTGCCAGGTCGCAGCTTCCTGCTAGGGTTTGTGGAGAGTGGACAAGGTGGTGCAGGGAGGCCTGGCATCTTTTCCCTGCTGCTTTGGGAATAGTCACCCTGCCCACATGCCCTAGAAGGTCACACAGATTAGCAGACACACTCCATTACCTAAGCCATGAGGGCTCGTACCTGGAGATTGAGGGCCACTGTTAACACAGCACAGGCTACGCAGCAGATGCCAAAGCCAGCGAGAAGCAGAAGCTTCCTCCCCAGGGACTCGATGATTAAAACCTGAGGGACAGGACACGAGGGTAAGGAACAGGGCACCGAGGGAACCCAGACACCTTGTCCTCAGAGGAGAAAGAGGAAAAGTGGCTGTCAGCTCCTGGGGGAGGAGGGAGAGTGTTCTTAATACATTTAAAACCTGGCCAGCTCTTAATACATTTAAAAGGCAGAGCCACTGCAGGGTTAGCTCCTGGGGCCAGGAGTTAACCCTGGTGTGGCTCCCCAGCATATCAACTAATCAACTAGTTAATGGATTCCATCGACCAGTTGATTAAACTAAATTTAACATCCCTAGTTGGAAGTCGACAGCAGGGGATAATTGTCCAGCAAATTCTAGAGGATGGGTCAAACCCCTCCCCTCAAAACCAAACCACCCTATAGAGACATTTGTATTTTGTAGATTCCATGAGGTGGTTCTATGAGGTAAATTTCAGAATCACCAGTGAAGTGCAGATTGGAAATCAACTAGAACTTGCGAAAGCTGAGGACTTGTACACCCGCCCCCAGCCCAAAAGGCTTAGTGCTCTTGTAGGGAAGTGAGCAGTCCCTTCCCTGACTGTCTAATCCAGACCAGGATTTAGGGAGACATTGTGCAGAGACACTGGATGGGGCAAGCTGTGCATGTCAGTCCAAGACAAGATGTGCCCAAGTCCAGAAGCCTCAAGGAGGATCCCAGTCAAGTCCTGACTCTCCTCTCTTACAAGGGGCACTTCAGGTTTATACTGTGCTCTTCATCCACAGATGTTGCAGCACTTTACAGGGGTGGATAAGCATCGTTAACCAAGTTTCACAGATAGGGAAACTGAGGCAAAGAGCACTTGCAGGATCTGCTCAAAGCCACACAGCGAGCCTGTTGCAGAACTGGGAATAGAACCCCAGGCTCCTGGCCCCAGGCTCTGCTCACTGCACCAAGAAAAAAAAAGTCCCCTTTTTTGTTATGGCTGCCTGTGCAGCCCCAGAACCCAATCACCTGTCTGAGTTGAAGAGACTTTTCTCCACGTTAGCCCAGAATGTCATGGGCAATCTGTGATTCATGGACATATGGGCAGGGCTGTTGCCCTGGACCATATCCACAATCTCCTCAGAGTTACCATAATACCCATCCATTGCAGCAACACAGCAGACACAAGGACTTAAAGAGGGAGTTCGAGAAAGTGGCAATGAAACACCTGGGAAGGAAGCTAAGTGGATAATAAGTAAATCCCATTATTTCTTCAAGAACCTTCCCATCGCATGCACTGACATAACCCACTATTGCACAGCATGAGTTTAAGGAAACAATTTTCCCCTGTTTATTATGATTTCAGCACCAGGGGACTTTTTCTCTCAATGTGAGAGGGTCCGTTGTGTTAATTGCAATGGTATAAATGGGCCCAGAAAATTCAAGGTGGGCAGTGAGGATTAGAACCTGGAGGTCAGGGGGGAAAAACTTACCGCTACACATGTCATGACCACATTGACTGCACCTATCCCCACGGTGACATACTGCACATCATTTAAGTTCACACCTGCTGGCTCGAAAATGTTGTTTGTATAGTAGAAGACCTGCAATCAAACCATACCTGCGGTTATACGTGGCCATTCACAGAGTCAGGCACCTCCAGGTTGTTAAACCAGCCAGACACAAATCCAAGCTCTGAACCCTCCCCCCAAAACTTTGGAACAGCCCACGTGTGGCCCCAGCTGTGGAGACTAGTTCCTTGCTCCATAAATCTCCAAACCTGAAACCCTTGGGCAGAACCCACCTAAACAATCGGACCCTGATCCAAATTTCACGGCAAGGGACCCATCTTGTTTTCCAAGAGTAGGGTTTGGTGCCCATCTGGAATGGGTTCTAGTGCCTGTGCCAGCCATTCCTGCCTGAGAAGCCAGGTTCATTCCTAGCCCGCCCACTGGTCTTTCTGGGTGGCATCTCACCTACCGCATTAATTCCAGAAAGCTGCTGGCCCATCATCATAATAATGATGGAGATGAGCTGCCACCTCAGGGCCTGGAAGGTGCAGAGGTTGAAGACGGACAGGCGACCTTCCAGCTTCTCCGACTGGTCTTCCTGGCGCATCTCTTCGATCTCGTCATCCACGTCATCCCAGCCTCTCAGCCTCCTCAGAGCTGGATGGGAGGAGGGAAGGGGAAGTTGGGTTTCCCCATAAACTCAGTTAAGGGGAGGAGGCTGGAGTTATGGAAACCAAAGGGGGACTTGAGCTACCCCAGGAACAAGAGGTCAGTCTTGGCCACTTCTGCTCTCTGGAAAAGGGAGAGCGACCAGCAACAGTCACAGGACTGGAGGGAGGGTCTTGAGGAGGGTCCTTGGAGCATATGAGCCAACAAAGGAACAATGAGAAGGTGGCCAGAGTTCCCCTCGCTAACAGTTTGACCAGGCCTGGGTCTCCAAGGAGAGCGCCAAACCATCTTGCAAACAGAGTTCAGGGACTTTGAGTTCTAGTGATTAGCATAAGGCACTGGGAGCCAGGATTCTACCCCCGGCTCTACCACTGACTAGCCTCTTTCTATTTCAGCCCCATCCCATTAAACTGGGTTGAAAAGTATCTGCTGCCAGGGAAACATAAATGAACTACTGTTTGCCAAGTGCTTTGAAAGCCTCAGATGTGCTATAAAAGGGTAGGACTGCGAGCTTAATGCATCCCAACCTGACCTTACCCACAGCATATTCCTATAATCACAGACTCATAGAAGTGTAGGACTGGATGGAACCTCAAGAGAGCTTCTAATCCAGCTCTCTGCTCTTGGGGCAGGACTAAGTCCTAACTAGACCATCCCTGACAGGTGTTTGTCAAAACTGCTCTTAAAACTCTCCAGTGACAAAGATTCCACAATCACTGTCCCCTCTGTTTTTGTTCTGTGCACCAAGGCATGTTTGGAAGTGCACCAACAACAGAAACACATTCTGCTGGCTGTGGGTGGCTGTGCTTTTCAGCTTGATGGCACCTGAATCTCTTGTGGGTGGCCACCCAAGTGCTCATCTTACAGGGAACACTTGTCCACAACCTTCCTAGGCAATTTATTCTAGTGCTTAACTACCTAATTTCTAACCAAACCTCCATAACTGCAATTTAATCCTATTGCTTCTTGTCCTATCCTAAGAGGTTAATGAGAACAGTTTTTCTTCCTTTTCTTTACAACAATCCTTGATGTACTTGAAAACTTATGTCTCCTCACAAACTTCTCTTCTCCAGATCAAACAAACCAAGTTTTGTCAATCTCCCTCAGAAGCCATGTTTTTTGGCCCTTTTATCATTTTAGTTCATAGAATACTAGGACTAGAAGGGACCTCGAGAGGTCATTGAGTCCAGTCCCCTGCCCTCATGTCAGGACCAAATACTGTCTAGACCATCCCTGATAGACATTTATCTAACCTACTCTTAAATATCTCCACAGATGGAGATTCCACAACCTCCCTGGGTAATTTATTCCAGTGTTTGATTACCCTCACAGTTAGGAACTTTTTCCTAATGTCCAACCTAAACTTCCCTTGCTGCAGTTTAAGCCCATTGCTTCTTGTTCTATCCTCAGAGGCCAAGATGAACAAGTTTTCTCCCTCCTCCTTATGACACCCTTTTAGATACCTGAAAACTGCAATCATGTCTCCCCTCAATCTTCTCTTTTCTAAACTAAACAAACCCAATTTTTTCAGCCTTCCTTCATAGGTCATGTTCTCTAGACCTTTAATCATTCTTGTTGCTCTTCTCTGGACTATCTCTAAATTATCCTCATATTTTCCAGAACTGGACACAGTACTCCAGTTGAGGCCTAATCAGTGCAGAGTACTGCAGAATAACTATTTTTCGTGTTTTCTTTACACCACTCCTGCTAGTCCATCCCAGAATGTTTGCTATTTTTTTTTGTAACAGTGTCACATGATTGTCTCTTATTTAGCTTGTGATCAGTTAGGACCCCAGATCCCTTTCTGCATTACTCCTTCCTAAACAGTCACTTCTCACTGTCCGGCTATGTCTACACTGGCATGATTTTCCGGAAATGCTTAAAACGGAACAGTTTTCCGTTATAAGTATTTCCAGAAAAAGCGTGTCTACATTGGCAGGATGCTTTTCTGGAAAAGCACTTTTTCCGGAAAAGCGTCCGTGCCAATGTAGACGCGCTTTTCCACAAAAAAGCCCCGATCGTCATTTTCGCGATCGGGGCTTTTTTGCGGAAAAGAAATCTGTGCTGTCTACATTGGCCCTTTCCCGGAATAGTTTTTCGGAAAAGGACTTTTGCCCGAACGGGAACAGCATAGTTTTTCTGGAAAAGCACCGATGATTTTACATTAGATCGTCAGTGCTATTCCGGAAATTCAAGGGGCCAGTGTAGACAGCTGGCAAGTTATTCCGGAAAAGCGGCTGATTTTCCGGAATAAGTGGCCAGTGTAGACACAGCCTCCATGTGCACAATGGGTTGTGCCTTCCAAAGTGAAGAACTTGACAGACATTCGTCCTTATTGAATTTTATCCTGTTTACCTCAGATCATTTCTCCAGATCACTATGAATTTTAATCCAAACACTTGCATTGCAACTCCTCCCAGCTTAGTATTGTTCACAAACTTTATAAAAGCCTCCTCTCTGTGTCATTATTTAAATCATTGATAAAAATATTGAACAGAGCTGCAGCCATTCCTGATGGCTCGATGTGCCCTTTCAGCTTGACTTTGAACCTCTGATTGTGAGACAACCTCTGGGAATGATTTTCCAGCCAGTTATGCATGCACCTTAGAGCAGCGTTTCTCAACCTTTTTTTATAAAGGACCCCTTTTTCACACACAAAATTATAAGTACCCCCAGTACCTACAATTTTCAGACACACAAAAAAATGTTCTACCATTGCAATTTAAACAAGTTAATCGTAGCCGGGCGGGTGATGAAACTTTTAGGTGTAAAAAGTACAAAAATAATCAAGCGCTTTAAAACATAAAACAAAAGTTCCGTTTTCTCCAAATTTCAGTTGTGTTGACGTACCCCCCAGACTTCTCTCAAGTACCCCTAAGGGTACTCGTAGGTACTCGTAGGTAGGTTGAGAAACACGGCCCTAGAACAGTTCTATACAGGTAGTAGTTCCCTAGTTTGTTTATGAATGGAGACCTCATTTCAAATCCATGCCACCCAGCCCTTCGCCTTGCCCTAGTTCTCCTGCTAGCACTGCTAAGCGGATGCGGCTGTACCTTGTCTGGCTTGTTCCTCATTGCCCTTCTGTATCAGCAGGTACCTGGGACTCTCAGGGAAAAAGGGCAACAGGAGGAGTTCCATCACTGCAGGGATCCCAGTTAGCCCTAGTAACACTGGCCAGCCTGCAACAGAGAAACAGATCCCCAGGTTCCCCATGAGAGCGTTCATCCACGCAGGAGCAGTCAGAGACCTCATCCTCAGCGCAGGGCTTTACCTTCAATGGTTCCAAGGATTTTAGTAAGCCCCAGGACCTGAGCTGCAAGGATGCCTATGGTGATGAAGAGCTGGGGCACCACCCCGGTCGCACCTCTCAGGTTTTTGGGGGACATCTCTCCCAGGTACATGGGAACAACGTTGGAGGACAGGCCTAGGTGGAGAGAGGGAGGTTAGTCCTGCTCTGGGGTGCAGCCACTTGAGGGACTTGACTAAGGTATTTTGGCAGAAGATGACAAATGGCCTCCTGTAGGACACAAGGGCTGATCAGCACATGAGACTGGAGCTTGCTGTGTGCTGCTGCCTCACAGGTTCCCAGCTATCCCAGAGTAGCTGAAAGCATATTGCCATCTGATGATCCTGCTGGCCTGTGTGATGAAAGCCAATGGTATTTTTTTCTCTCCATTGGAGCTTAGAATAAAAGAGTCGGCAGCATTAGCTTCATTCCTACTGTGAAGGTGTCCAGGGTACAAAGCCCATCACCTTGGCTGGCATCTTTATTGGGCTGGTGTTCTAAGGCTGGATGCGTGTGCTGCTCCTTCCCACACTGTATACGCTGCATGGATAAACAAGCCTTTCGCTCTCCATAACTTAGTGCCATCAATGGGTGTTGGCTAACACACAGAGAAATGGATGGAGGCTCTCTCTATACCAGGGCTAGTCTGGGGACCTGGTTATAGCACAAGTTAGCATCCTAGGACTAATCAGGATTCTGACTGCCCAAGGTTTCAACCCCATTACAGGGGCACAGTTAGGTCTAGTCTATGGAGCCTTCATTTGCAAATTTGACACCTTTAATCAAGGTTTAAACAAAGACCTGAACTGGATGGGCCACTGCATTCAACACTTTAATGACATCAAAAGCTAAGTATTGGGCACGTACTGCCCACTCAATTAGCCTCATTTAGCACGGACACTCTAAATGACAAGATCCCCCCCCCTTTTCTTTCCTTCCCCTCTTTTTCTGCTATTTATTTGTGGCTCTGGACCCCTTGCTCTGCTCATGTGAAGAAGTGGGCTGTGCCCACAAAAGACCATGATCCATCTACATTTTTTGCTAGTCTCTAAGGTGCTGCAGGACCATTCATTGCTTTTTAAGTTTTTACACGGGTTGGAGTCACTTTTAATGTAAATTCTCCATCTTCATTGTGAAATGGGAATTAATGTGGCCTTATACCCAGACTTTCCTGTTTACTTTATAGGACATGCAAGTCCCCTAGTAAACTTTGGGTGGAGTTTAGGTGTCATTGGACTAGAGAGTCAGTGAATTGATCCTAATCAGATCTGGAGGATCATTACTTACATAATGCTGCCAGCATATGAGGTGCTGGACAAAAGATAAACTGGGTCAAACAGAATCCCCCACCCACACAGCTTGAGCCACTCTCTTCTCCTCTAGTCCATTTTGGTATAATAGATTACAAGGGTGCTGAAACTATCAGATAGCAGTGCCAATTTTTTACCTTTGGCACCATTCCATTCCTGGAATGGATTTATGGATCTGGCCACACTTAGCTTGGAAGAGTTCTGCTTGGGGTTATAGTTTTAAGAAGCAGGTAATATAAGCTTTGCCTAAAGTATTTGAGAAGTGAACTGCCACTAGCAAAGCTGCAGCTGTTATGACATATAGAACCACGGTCTATGTTAAACAAGAGTAATTTATTAAAGAAAACAACTACATTTACAGACCAATGGGTTTCCACAGAGCTCATATTCCAGCCTTGTCTTCTTTGTTTATCAGTAACCCCACCCACTCTGTGCACAGCACAAGGAGTCAAGCAGACATGGAGACACTGTACTACTGCGCGTACTGTCCCTACAATTTACTCCTTGCAAACCAACCCGCTGTGACACATGAACCACCTAGCCCAGAAAATCCTGCCCCTTCTCCTACCTCTGCATACCTCTTTTCACTTACCTGCACATATCCCCACGATGATTCGTGAGAGAATGATCACTTCAAAGGTCTTTGCCACTTTGGAGGTTCCCATGAGGATCGCAGGGACAATGGAGAAGATGTTATTTACCAACAAAGTGCCCTTTCTGCAGAGAGATCAAGAGGGTCACAGTTCTAGCTTATTATTGTTTTTACTTGTACTGTGGTATTGCCTAAAGGCCCCAGCTGAGATGGGACCCAGCTGCTCTAGGTGCTATACAAGCACATAGCCAGACAACACCACCCAATGGGGGCCTGTCGATGGGAGCGGAGGGAAGGTGAAAAAGGTAGCAGTTGCCCCAGGGACCACCGAAGATGTTATTTACCAACAAAGTGCCCTTTCTGCAGAGAGATCAAGAGGGTCACAGTTCTAGCTTATTATTGTTTTTACTTGTACTGTGGTATTGCCTAAAGGCCCCAGCTGAGATGGGACCCAGCTGCTCTAGGTGCTATACAAGCACATAGCCAGACAACACCACCCAATGGGGGCCTGTCGATGGGAGCGGAGGGAAGGTGAAAAAGGTAGCAGTTGCCCCAGGGACCACACATTTTAAAGTCCCAGCCACTGCCACAGATGGCCCTGCATTTTCTGCCCAGGGCCACGCCCCTTCCAGGAGCACAGAGTTGGTCCCTCCCCACCTTACCCAGGGGCCCATGCAGGTTGTTGGCATCCCAGGACACACCTGCAGCCTGGAAGAGCTTATAATTTAAACAGACAAGACCAGGCTTGCCAACAGGGGGAGGAGGGGCAGGCAAAAGTGGCATCTGCCCTGGGGCCTGGCGATTCTAAAGGCCCTGGGGCTCCCAGCTGCTGCTACTGCCGCAGTGGTGATGCCCAGAGCTCCCAGCCCTTTAAAATACGGCCGGAGAATCTCAGTGTGTGCTCTGGGCATCTCTAAGGGCTTGTGGAAGGACCAGCATGGTGCACTCTGGGTGGTGCGGAGGCCTACCTGCCGAAGCTACACCCCTTCCGCCTGAGGACCCGCCCCTTTTGGAAGTATAGACACCCCCCACACCTTGCCCAACATGGCTGTCAGCTCCCCTGGACATGACTGACAAAGGAAATATCCCATTTTGCAGGTAAGGGACTAAAGCACAAAGAGATTAAGTGTCTTGCCTAAGGTCACTTAGGATGCCTGTAGCAGAACTGGGAATTTAACCCAGTTCAGTACTTCAGCCACAAGTCCTCTCAAGTTTACTCACTCGCCTCTGGAGGATTTTTCTCACTATTTGACGCAGGAAAGCAGGGCAGCTGAGACCAGTGGGGAAGGGATCAGAGACTCCTACGGTGGGATCTAACCACAAATGCTTTAGACAAACTAGAGGCTTAAAAATTAATATTTAGATGGGGCAAAGAGCATAAAGACCAAAGGCCTTGGCCTAATGGATTGAACCAAATAGTGCATCTGGTTCAGTGTCATGCCTGCAGTTTGAACATGTCCACTCTTCCCACAGTACAACCAGATCTGTTGTTCTGCATGGGGAGAGGTTCGATTCCTCCCTCATCCTAGTGGAAACCAGTGGTCTGGATGCATAATGGGAAGTGTTGAATCAGATGTTCCTGTAAGAAGACCTTTCTTCAAACCACAGCAAACTGCCCCTGAACAGATTACAGACAGGCCATCTTATGGGGCCCATCACTCACCTGCCACACTTGTTCACCAGAGGGCCTACCATAAGGGACCCAAAGAAGCCTCCCAGTGGGAACATAGATACTGTGAGAGACCAGAGCAGCGTTTGGAAGCTGCTGTCCATGAAGTTGCTCGTCCTATTAAAGTAGGTTTGATTGTAAAAGTTTTTCATGATCTAGAAAAAGATACAAAACCAGACTTAATTGGTTTGGCAGGGGAGAAAATTCTGGTTATTCATGCAATAAACCTAGCAGGGGGCCAAACAGAGTAAAGCTCCATTGAACAATTTCTCTTGCTAAAAGAGGAAGATTTAGTTTAAGGCTTGTATTAACAAGAGAAGGTTTAACAAACCTACAGTTAAGGCCGTGACTTATTTAAAAGGTCCTGCTGCATTAATTACTTGCTTGATTTTCAACACTCCCATTGATTTCATTTGCTATCGGTCCCTATGTTTTCTGTGCACAAAGCCCAAAACACATGTAATCCCATAATGCATATGGAAAATGTTTATGTTGGACCACACCCTGTTTCCCAATTGTGGTTCCCCCTAAACTTTTCAGCAGAGCACCAAACCCTTAAGCTAAGTTTACTCCTGGAGCTAGGGGTGTGAGTCAGTGTTCCCTCTAATTTTTTCCATTAGTGTGCAGAATAAAGTTTGTCATGAGCACGGAGGCATGTGCAGATGTGCACCACCAACAGAAATATATGCTGCCAGCTGCTGGCACACTGTGCATCAGCTGGGTGGTATTTTAATACCTCCTGGGTGGCTGACCAAGTGCTCACTTAGAAGGAACACTGGTGTGAGTACCCGCTAGCTCTCATGGAGCTACAGCCCCCAAAATAGTAGCAACCCTGGCTGCTATGCACAGGCAGGCAGTGGTAGCAATGACGGCCTATATGTGTGGTTTGTACTCAGTACAGCTGGCCTGTGCCACTTGCTGTTCCTGTGCTGCACAACTATTTATCTATTCGAGTCATATGTCCAGCTCCAAGCATACAACACACCAGAACAGAAAGAGTTTCCAGTTTGAGTGGATATATCAGGCTTTGCTGTTTTTACTGCACTAGCTCAGTCAGAGACCTGTGAGTATGTCTGGTGGCAAAAGCGGGAAATTACACCTCCCAGTTACAGTGTAGACACACTTAAGAAGAGACAGGGCACAGGGAAATGTATCCCAGGCCTCCCATGACCAATGCTACCCTTCAGAGTCTCAGGGAAACCGTACTTCGATAAGAGACCAGCAAACGATCACAAGGAGATGGTCTCCTTCCTTAGCAAGGCCGACCTCGGAAGATCATAAAAGAAGGAAGTGCAGAAGTCGAGCCAGGAAGTGAGTATGATAGTGTACAGCGCAGAGGGCGGGCCCACTGGAACATGAATTTTGGTCATACGTAGGAGGATGGTGACTTTATGGGCAAAAGGAAAAAGAAATGTTGGGGTCTCAGATGGATCTAAAAATATCAGTCCTTGGGAACAGGGGGAACTGATGCCTGTGCGGGGAAGGGTGCAGGAACAGCCACCCAGAGGGGCACGGAGGGGACAGGTGGGGACACCCCATTTAGCAATTAAAATTCTGGCGAGAGCATAGGGAGGGTGCACCTCCTGAGTGCTGCCATGCGTCACTTGTGCTTGGGAACAAAGTCTACTTATTTATCAAGACCAATATGACCACACTACAGTGTTACAGGATAACCAGCTCTATAGAGAAATGCCCGAAGCCCAAAGTGGAATCTTACCAAGGGTCCAGCCCTCTCAACTTTCCATGATGAAGGATTTCAGGCCTGTGCTTCACTGTCTCCATCCCCACAGCTGTCCAGTGGGCAGGCGCAGAGGGAATTCCTACACCCAGCACACACTAGCCAGATGCGTTGGGGGGTTAGAATTCATACAATGGGTTATGAGGGTTGGAAAGCAAAGGCCCTCAAGAGAAATACATACAGAACGGAACAGGGGCTGGAACCAAGTGTTAGCAGGCAAAGCCTAGGAAGACAACAGAGCCAATTTCAGGGCTATCCTGAGGTTATATTTCATGCCTACAAACCATGATCACGGCATGCTACCAACACAGGCAGAAGGAGGAGAGAGAACACTTCTGTCTTGGGGGATTCCTCCCCACCATGGTAATCCTAAGGCAGAGGGAGTTCAGAAAGCCTAGGCTGTGCATAAGTGTGCAAGCATGCACACACACGTCACTGTTTCTAGTCTGCCATTTGTTTGTTTTTCCTCCCCTTTGGAGGCGGTTTCCTGCCCCCCCAGTCAGCCCAACCTACCACCTCTGGATTGTTGATCACGGAGACATTGTAACCATACTGGAAAGAGGATCCAAAGGCAGACACCAGTGTTACACATGCAAGCAGAAGGGTCATTTTCTGCAGGGAAGAAGAGCAGTTACATATGTGGAAATAGCACTGGTTTCTCCCTGTGCACGTTTACATATAGAACCCCCCAGGTCATTTGTTACAGCAAAAGACATTGAAACAATTGGGCTCCTGCCCCTTTATGTCTCTCTTTGGTTTAAAAGGAACATTTGAAAGATCGCTCACAGTAAAACTCACTTTATTCTGCCTGAGTTTTCCCTTATATGAAACTTCAAGGCAACACCCTTTCTCTAGAATCAATTGGGTGTTGAAATCAAAGAGATGCCAAGAGCCAAAATAAATATCATAAAATTTTGAAGAATGAATACAATTCCCCTCCTCCCCGTTGCTCTTATTTTCTCTCTCATGGCCGCTCTGCCAGCTGCATTTTGGAATCAACCTGCTGATGGGCCCATTCCAGCTGCTGTTAAACTCAAGTGGAACCTTTCCCTGGATGTCAGACTGTGCCCTATGGGAGCAGTGCTTTGCGGTTGTCCAGAGGGGAAAACCTGAGTGCAGGATCTGTGTATGTTGTTCACAGGCAGACAGTTCTTGGGATCACCAGCCACTAATCTTCCACAATAGGTTACATCATGGGTTCCCAAACTGGGTTGGCGGGAAGAAATTCCAGAGGGGGTGTAAGGTGAGCCAGCCCTCTCCCCCTATCAAGTTTTGCTGCCCCAGTCAGTTTTTTTTTTGCTCAACAAGTTTTGCTGCTATTTTGGGGTGGGGGATGGGGTAAGGGTTTCTCAAAAATCAAAAAGGGGGCGTGATGCCGAAAAGTTTGGGAACCACTGGGCTACAGTATCCCAGGCGGTTGCTAAGGACTTCTCAATCTGCAGCCAGCTGTGCTGTAGGCAGAGCTGCCTTTTACAGCTTACTCATGCACACTATTGTTTTTTGTGGGCAATTGAATTATATTTCCATTCAGCCATGGGTTGTTTTCTCCTGCCTCCATTTGCCTTAGTGGCCCTGGACCTTATCCTTCCGGAATGCAGTCATCAGTGTATCTATTCCAGCACAGAGGACTTGTTCAGCCTCTTTAACTGGAGGATTTCTCAGGAGTAGGCAGTACTTTCCCTCCTCCCCCACCCTGTTCACACTCTGCTCTTTAGGGCTGTGTCTACACTGGGCCACTTATTCCGGAAAAGCGGCTGCTTTTCCGGAATAACTTGCCAGCTGTCTACACTGGCTGCTTGCTTTTCCGGAAAAGCACTTTTTCCGGAAAAGCGTGTCTACATTGGCCACGGACGCTTTTCCGGAAAAAGTGCTTTTCCGGAAAAGCACTTTTTCCGGAAAAGCGTGTCTACATTGGCCACGGACGCTTTTCCGGAAAAAGTGCTTTTCCGGAAAAGCACTTTTTCCGGAAAAGCGTGTCTACATTGGCCACGGACGCTTTTCCGGAAAAAGTGCTTTTCCCGAAAAGCATCCTGCCAATGTAGATGCGCTTTTTCCGGAAATACTTATAACGGAAAACTGTTCCGTTTTAAGCATTTCCGGAAAAGGGTGCCAGTGTAGACGTAGCCTAGCTGTCTCAGCAGCTTGCATGCAAACCAGCGACAGAGAGGTGAGGTAGCTGCCCCAGGTCCTGCGGTGAGTCAGTTTCAGAGGCAGGATTAGGCATGCCTGACTCCCAGTTCCATTCTCAGTCTTCTTGATTATGCTGGGGGGGAGCCAGCCCCATCCAACCCTATCTCCAGCCTGAGAGCAGTGCGCAGAGGTGCTCCACTCTGTGCGGCTCTCCACAAACACACAGTGACAGACAGTTCCCCAAACACCTACTGAACAGACAAGAGAGATCAACGGGAGAGACAGAGAGGGGCAAAGTGACTTGCCCAAGACTCACACAGCTGGTCAATTGCAGAACCTGGAATAGATCCAAGCTCCTGTGTCCCCTAGGCAGCACAGCCCCAGACATCAATAGGTCCATAATTGTAATAGTGCATGGATCAGTTTGAGCACAGCTTGCCAGACCCTCCTGTTCTCCCCCTTCCCCATTTTCCCCAATGAAACTTTTCTGCAGTCTTCACCATGTCAGCCAGAAAGAACCAAGTGAACTCACCCCCTTCCTGCCCTCACAGGTGCCAGCGCTCTCCAGCTTCTTTGTCGGCTTCATTTTGGTGGGTGAGGCGAACACTCAGATTTCAGACTTTTATAGGCAAAGTGCGGCCGGGGATGCCCCAAGAGGAATGATAATGCGCTGTGAGTGTGGCAGGGACACCCAATAATGCGCTTTATTGCCCACCATAATCAGTCTGTCCTCTGGACCTTCCTGGGGGCTGCATGACTCCCTCGTGTCTCCCTAATGGCTCCGCTTTCCTTTCCTCTGTTGAAGGCCCCGTCCCCACGAGGATCAGTCTCTCTTGTGCCAAACTCCCACTCAGACTGGCCTGCTGCTGCTGTGGCTGTTTGAAGAGGCTCTGTGCTGCCCTCGCGGTGGGGAAAGCAGCTGGAAAGGCAATTGCAACAGGCTGGCTCTGCCCCAGGAGAGCAGGTTCACATCTGCAGACACAGCACTACGAGCCAGCCTGCGGGCACAGAGATAATATTTTCTCAGGTGCTGTAAATTGCTCTTCAGGTAGAGACAGCGCAATCTAGGTGCCTGAGCACAGGACCGGGAGCCAGGAACTCCTGGGATTCCAACCCTCTGCAGCATGGAACAAGTTCATGTCACTGAATCCCGCTTTCTCCGTTTGTTAAATCAGGGTAGAATCACACACCCAATTATGCTCCTATTACACATGCACGATCCACCAATAATCCAGCCTCTGCATCATGCAACAGGGCTACTGAAGAGTCTGGGGCCACCGCTGGAGTGGGTAATCGGGCATTTGTTTGAACTACGCTTTGATAGCGCTTGGGAAACCATCACATGGTACTGAGCCAGACACAGGGGCAGAGCACTCTGAGCTCATATTAATATCACTGGATGGTGAGAGTGCTCGGCGCCTCTGAATCGCAGGCCCTGCTCACGGTAAGTCTTTGGTATTGCTACAGTCCTGCACGAGAGAAAACCCTCGTCCATGCTGCACAGGGAAACGAAGACAGAAGCCGCCGTGTATTAACGTTGCTGGCGTCGGCAGGGCTCCGAGACTGGCCCAAACCAACGTTACAGGCTCAGCCGACGAAGCTTAGCATGGGGCCTGCAGAGCACGTGTCTGTTCTCATTTGGTCTCAGTCTCGCTCCAGGCCCTCTTCGGCTACACAACGTTCCCTGTCTGAGCACTGCGCTCTCGGGGTCCGATCCTGCAGCTGGTGGGAGTCTTGCCCTTGACTTCGGTGCAGACAGATCAAACCCCAACTACGGGACAGCCCGGTTTTAGTCCTGCTTGTTGGCACGAGTCCAGACTGGGTTAGAACCTTCTCATGGCAGCGAGTTTCCCCCCGTGCTTTGCCCTGGAATGCAGCACAGTGCGCAGCGCGGTGACTTGTCCGAGGCCGGCTGCTCAGGGCATTGCTGCTGGTCGCACAAGTGAGACACGTTTCCTTCATTTTTAAAAAGGTCTTAACAATTTTGGCTCAGCTGTCTGATCTGCTGCTTTTGCCCCAAAGCGTATTAACCCCTCCGGCCCCAAATCCCACTGCATACAAAGTGCACTGGAGGGGGGGGGGGACAAGAGGGGGAAGAGTGGCAGGGATCGGGTACAACTCTCTTCTGCATTCTAACTCCGAGAGGTTTTTTTTGCACGGCACGGCACCTTGTTATAAGTTAACCAGGGTTGCAGCCTGCTGATAAACTAGGAAGCGAAGTTCACAGATTGTTTCATCTCATCTAGGATTTGTACTACCAACCATTGCTACTGTTCATGGCCACCCTTGTTTTTAATTGCACTTTGCCCTCTTGGAACCTCATGAGTTGCACGTGGGTCGCTCATGGGCCTGCTTTTCTTTCCCTCTTTTACGGGACTTAACACAAGACAGGGCACAGAATCCACACTCAGCATTTCCCCCCCTGCTTTATATCAAAGGAATGAGATGGCCATTCAGACCAAAGTAACAACATCTCAGCAGCAGCTCCCATAATTAATTTCTTCCTTTCTTTTGTCTTCAGGGTTTGTTTTGGGGATGGCTTGTTTTCAACACAGAGTAGTGACTGTTTATGCCAAGTCCCTTTCAAGCTAACCCAAACCCAGGATGCAAATAAAGCTCATGTGATGTGTGCTACAAATGGCCATGCTAAAAGTGTACACATGATACTGAGCAACAATGTAAATAGTAATCAACAGCTATCTGACTGTAATTAGGGCAAATGAACCTATTAGAAACAAGGCTAGTAGAGGGATAGGAAAGAAAAATTAGGGGAACAGATAAATCCGAAAGCAGCAAACTAACAGACTCATAAAAACCACACTCGTTCCAAAACAACTTCATTCTGTGTACGCCAAAACAGATTGAGCACAGCTGCCTTTCCAGGAAGGATTCCTTCCAACAGCAGAAAAGAGACCAATGCCCAATGTTAACTTGCCCATGTAAGCACCCTGGTAGGATAACAGCCTACTGCTGACAGCAGCTAATAGAATGAGTGAGCTAATTACTGCTTAGCACATACAAATGGAGGGCAATACTGCAATGCTGAACAATCCTGGGTTTAAAAATCCTTCTGATGATCCAGTGTGGAAGGGGGTTGGTTATGCATGGATGCCCCAAGCTCTGATTTCTCTAATTAAGCTTAATTATGCAGGCATCCCCAAGAGCTGCACCTCTCCACAAACTTTTAGGACTTAAAGTGTGCAAGAAGGTATGCAGGGGCTGAGTTGCCTATCAATGGAGGAAGGAAATCCCGGCATCCACATTCTGGCAATAAGAAATATCCAGCACTGCACAATTCTTTACTGATGTCAGTACAAAACATGTGCCAGGGTTGGGAAATGACGGAACACTGAATCGAAGTACACATGGTGCTGCAGATGCAATGAACTAGAGAAAGCAGCTGTTTAAATGGTCTGTTTACTATTCTGTGCTAGCAGGAGGGAAATTAACGATGTCTAAAATCACACTTCCACTGGCTGAGAAGAATCTCACTGTGGAGGAGAATTAATCAGAGAGCAGAAGTTGGTGAATTCCTGGAGGCCCATAGGGAGCCAGCTGGTCCCATGATGTCTGGTCTCCTTGTTTCTAGCTTTCTGGAAGTGACTGCTGTAGTTGCCACAGTGGCATTACACATACAGCCCTGCACAAATATATAATTTGAATCTGCATCCAAGGATGCTGATATTGGCAGATTTGCAGGGCTCTAATTACATGACTGCCAGTGGGAGGGGGAAGCATCCTATGTGGTTTGAGGGGAGGAGAGGGGTTTATGAGATGATCTATTAAGATGTGATCCACTCTATGAAAAAATAATTGGCAAATCCTACTGTGGAGGAATAATTCAATAACAGATCCTTGTCTATGGATACACAAAAGAACATCACAAGCTCAGATTTTACCTCATTATATCTGTGCAGCTCCATGGATTTATGTTTAGTAGAATTTTGCTGTTAGAAAAAGTTAAGTTGTAGCAAATTCATTGTCAGGAAAGTACTTGAGAGGCATTATGTACACATCAGCGGCAGCTGGGATGGAACTCAGATTCTTCTATTTCAAAAAACACAGGACCCTACCATTTGAGCTGAAGGAGAATCTCTGTGAGCAGTACAGGCCCTATGGCACACAGTAGAACAGTTAAAGCAGAAGGTAATTTGCTTTGTTGGAAGCCAAAAATGTTACATATCTCACAAACATTCTTAGGATTTAAAAATGCAAACAAAAATAGCTCTCCAGTCCTGGTAAGAACACACACACTCCACAACTAATTGTTCCCCAGTGGCTTTTTGCTGCTTGTTTTGTAATAAAAAACTGTAATGCCCACTGAATGCCCTTAACAAAATCCTTAACCTCTTAAAGAAAGGAGATACTAAACAGCTAAGCGCTTGAACAGCAGCTTCTTCATCTTACAAAAACTGCTTCTCTCTATTAGTATCTCACCTCTTCAGCATAGCTATTATCACCAGTCTTAGGACACAGGTGCCAGACAGAACATTAATTGTAACAATAATCTGCAGAACATTTATCAGCTCTTCTAACCAATCAGAACACAGCAGGGATAGCTTGGTGTTTGTGTTAACCCATACACCGGTGTTTCCCAATTGGTGTTCCGCGGAACTCGGCGAAGCTAAGGGTTCCGCGAGAAGTCGGCACTCCCCCGCCTCCTCTTACATTTTTGCTCAACAAATTGTAGCGGGTCTTTTTTTTTTTTTTTACCCTGGCAATCCTAAGGGTTCCTTGACATTCTTTCAAGCTGAAAAGGGTTCCGTGGCCAAATAAAATTGGGAAACTCTGCTATATGCAATGGAACTCAGAGTTAGTTACTGCCTTTGGTTGCTGGACTAAAATGTGCCAAGCACATGAGCGCTGCCTGAGATCAAGGTGACGTGCACTGCCCCCGGGTAGTCCTCATTTTGATTCCTAGTCCCATGTGTCCCTAGGCTGAGAGGTATGGGAGTGTGGCATAGGGTTCCAGAGTTGGCAGAGTGGGAAGATGAATGGCTGCCTAGTTTAATTCAATAAATAAATTCTTCTGATTATGAAGGAGAGCCGAAGTTCTGAAGGGAGCTCTGGCCAAGTCTCCACAACCACAGTGGGATGGGGTACAGGATGAGACAGGCAAGGAAGAGATCTTCCAAGCTGTAGAAAGGGCCTGGAGGTCATCCCTCCCACACAAGAAAACACTGCCCTCCCCCATAACCAGCCTGGGCTGAGAGGGCGCATTAAATGCCCTTTGGCGGGTGGGAGGTGGGGGGGAGGTGGGGTGGGGGGCAAATATTTGCATTTGGCAGAAGATTTGCCTCTCTCATCAAGGTCAATTAGCAAAAGGCCGTTTGGCAATAGTAGCTGGAGGAACTTGAGACGGGGAAGGCGGCTTTATGCTGCAGCCCAAACAAATTGCTGCTGAGTTTCTAGCCAGCCATCCGGCCTTCTAGTCAGAGTCAAGATCACAGGAGACCACCAGATCAGAGGCTGCCCATCAGCACCCAGCCAACTCCACACCAGGCCCAACAACCAGAACTAGACCCAACTATTACTGCCCTCAGAAGGCTAAACTGTGTGCCACAGACAGGGAACAGGAGGGAGCTAGCTGGACTAATGCCGGAGGCCCCCGTCATGCCAGGGTATTGATTAAGGGACGTATGCTCAGATGATCCCACCAAGTAATCTAGCTGCCGTATCCCAGGCTGCAGGGGACGGAGCCAAAGCAAAGATCCCAGAATACACTGGAGGAAAAATATCCACTCCTGACCCCAACAGGCGACCACTTGAACTTCTGAAGCAGGAGATCTTAGGAACATCAGACAGAAGTGACCCTCCAGTCCTACCCAGCATAGTTCTCCACCACCCCCGGCAGCCGCATCATACAAACTCACTCATTAACTTATCAAGCTCCACCTGACAGCAAATTAAGTTGTTTGCCTCATTTAATTTTGTTTTATAACAGTCACATTCTTCCGAGATAAGCACACGGTTTAGTCTCAGAAGTGCATAGATTACGCTAAGCCTTTTGTTATGGCAACCAGGTGCCCTATCAGACTGTAACAAACATGTGATAACCTAAAGGACTTCACAGGAATCAGTCTGCTGCGTGCTCTCTTACTCAGAACAGGGTAGAAAGTGCTGCCTCATGCTTTTAAAGGAGGCCCCTGCTCACGTGGAGACTCCCCATTAACTCACAGCAGTACAGAGTTTATGATACACGCTTGAGCAGTTCCAAGTCCATCCAGTGCAGGGAATACAACAGGTGGGACTGATCCTTTAAAGGCTAATGGCCTGGAGACAGCCAGCCCTGGTCAATTTTCACACACAGTGGAAAAAGAGCAAGAGATTACAACAACCAGTAAGTGACTCAGTTGAGGGGGGAGATTACAGGGAGAAGCTGTAGGAAGGGACAGGCTCCTGCAATAAGATTCTAGGTGGCAAGCCCCAGGAGTTGTGACTGGGTATACAGACCCAGCTGGAAGCTTTGTTTTTCTTTTGTGATTGCATGGTCATTTGGACAACAAATAGAGCCCAGAACCAAGGATTAAAGTCTAATCTGCTGTAGCTAATAATTCTCCAGGAAGCCAGCATGTTACAGGGCACCCCCCCAAGTATGTGCGCACACAGTTTGTTACAGGCTGGGTACACACACACAGCATCAGTAGACAGGACATAGAACACCCGGATTCCATTCCTGCATCAGGCATTGACCTATGGGCCTGAGCTCGTTGCTGCTCTTCCTTCGTGCAGCATGTTGCACAGCGGGGCCCTGATGTTGCCAGGAGCTGTAAGGGGCCACCTGAATCCAAATTATAAAAGGAAAACAACCAACCAAGTATTTGTACCGGAAATATTTCCAGGGTGTTCCATTTCTTTTATCTGCTGCCTCTAGCACCAGCGTGGCAACAGCATTGTCATTTCACAGGCAGGGTTTAATTTCAGCCACCGTGCACATCAAAGAATTTTCCAGCTCCCAAGGGTCCATGCTTCACCCCTGCACCCAAATCCAAAGAGGAGAACTTGTTTGGAGACACTGGCTACAGTTCGGCTGCCCACAGCAGTCCTGTGCCTGTTGAATAACTTGTGAGGGGGGAGGAGTTTGTGCGTGAGAGTTTGGGAACGTTCTGCATTTACTCCTGCTGTCCAGGGTCACAAAACTAGGAGCTGAAAGAAAAGTTGAATTTTGTGGTGAAAGGGGCAAAATATTCAAAGCTCCCAAGTTTGATTTTTTCAGAAGAAGCAATGGGCTCTAGGATGGGAAGTTTCAGCAAATCATGCTTGACTGGAGAAAATCAGCTTGTGAGCAAGGGAAAAAGGGGAGGAGATAGAGCAGGAGCTAGGGCTGAACCATAAATCTTTGTTAGGGCCTAATGAAGAGATTATTAGTGTGAAAGAGACCAGACAACACAGCTGTGTTTGAAACGTGGGGTGGGGGGAAGGGAGGTGTTCAGATTATACAGTGATGGAGCTGTTACAGACATTACAGCCTATTTCCGCTTCCCTATGGAAGGGCATGTCTTCACTGGGCAGAGATAGATCGGGGCTGGGGGAGGTTGACAGACACAATGAATTGACCACCGAGTGCTTTCCTGTTGACTCCAGTATTCCAGTAAAACGGATAACTTGGGCTCGTAGGTTTAAAGACACAAAAATCAGCCAATACTGGCTAATCAAAACAAAAAGGAAAACACTTTTATTATCAAAACAAAACAACTGTAGCAAGCATAATAAATGACTGGATGATAAAAGCTATGAAGTGAAATAGACTCAGGGGAAATCACTGGGTTGTAATCTTTAGTTACAAAAGAGAAAAAACAATTAACCAGCTCAACCATGATTTCCAACTCCTGAAACAAGAAAAACAATAAAACTTGATGGACTATCTAAACTTTTCTCTATTTATGCATTTCAGGAAGTCCATTCCTGGGAGAGCCTGTCTCCCTTGTTACCTGGGGGCTTCGGGCATTCAGCCAATGAAATGCAGATAGGAATTTCAAACCAAGAGAGGGTTTTTTTCTCTCTTCCTTTGTTTTGAGATCAGAGCAGCCCTAAGTACATCGACTTCAGCTACGTGAATAACCTAGCTAAAGTTGTGTAACTTAGGCCAGGTCTACACTAGGCCCGGCAGCTCGACTTAAGGTTCACCACTCAAGCTACCTAGATTATATAGCTGGAGTTGGCTTATTTTAAGATGAGGTTGGTGGTGTCCCCACAGCATGCTGGGACTCTCTCGTCCTGGAACATCCATGATCTTGCTGGACCACAGATATCGCTGGACCAGAGAATCTGGGATTTTAGAGGTGCAACCTGGAGGCAGAGGAGCCCTGGAGGCAGGCAGACACTCCTGAAGGTGAGACCACAAACAAACAATAACAAAACAATCGACGAACACAGTAAATTCAGAAGCAGACCGTCTATACCTGGGATTGGCAAATGCTTGTTCAATGGCTTCATTACCACGTGACTGGCTCTGTCACAGGTTCAGTGTGTTGCTAATGGGCCTGGTGGGCTCTCTCACTTTTAAGGTAAGTAGATCCTCTCCGGAGGAATCAGAACCACAGACCAGTGACAGGAAGAAGCGAGTGGGCAGACATTAAGATCCAGTGGTGCCCCACGTTTTCTGGTGCCCTACGCAGCTGCATATAGGTAAGGGTGGCTCTGTCCACAGCAAGGGCAAGACAGCGCTGCTCATCATGTCATCTATCTCCCTCGCACAGGGTTTCGGGAAGCCATCAGCATTCTACACCTCACCAACGCCGTGCCTCAGGGCTGACCCCATATCAAGAAAGCACAAACTTCCATCGCTTTGTTCAGGCCTTGAACTCTCTGCTGAGACCAGCACCTGACAATGCCGGGAGTGGTGGGAGTGCCCAAGATATGCACGTGTGTGCTGGGAATCTAACAGAGATCCACCCGCTCATTTCACACAGTCCTTTAATTTTATATCAAGAGGGCAGTGGACATTCCAAGTGACATCAACCAGCCTACAGCTCAGCAGGTTGATCCCTGTGCTGGTGAGAGCTCGAAATCCCCAAGTTAAAGAAAAAAAAATCAGGAAGAACAACATCTACGACTGGCATCTGCAAATGATTTGCGCTTAGTCACCATGTACATGCCTTAGACAATCACAATCATTTGTTAAATTACAGACACGCCGAGAACTTGTAAAAACACTGTCACAATTTCGCTTCTCCCTCCACTCACTCTGGGGAAGTGTTGGCAGACCAATCTGTGTGCCTTTATCACACAATAACATCTCTGTTAAAATAATAACAATAACATCTCTGTTAAAAAAATGCATCGGAAGCAGATCTCTGTCCATATACAGACACAGAAATCCGGTAAGGACTTTGTTAAAAAGATAAAAATTTTGGAAGTGCATCAGGAAAGTCGAGGAGCTGTAAACAGGACGTATTCCAAAAAGGACAGCATTTCCTCAAGTCCCAGCTGCGATTTTAAAAAGCATGGTGGGAGGAGGAGAGCATTAATATCAACAAATTATGCCTTGGGGAAAAAGGAAAACCTGGATGTAGGATCTTTGCAACAAGATGTGTCTATACATCTATGCTGTCGCTTGATGGCTGGGTTGACATGCTTGCCCACTTAGCTACCCTCAGTACCAAACTGTTCACAGAACCAACCTTTAATCAAGCAGCTACCCTAGCTCATTCACATCTCAAATCTAGAAGGAAGACAAACTGCTGAGGCCCTGAAAAAGGAGCAAAACATCCAAGACAACCCCTCACCTCCCAGCCAAGGAGAACAAAGACAAAGTTGGCCAACTTTGTCCCCATCCACAAAGGGAAGAGTAGGAGGCCTCTTGTAACAGGCGATAAATATATCCCATGTCCAAGGTGCTTCCACTTGTGGATTTCCCTCCACCCCACACGTCGGGTGAGAAATCCCCTTAGTAAAACAGCACAAGTGGTAAACCTCCGCAGGAGGGCTGTGGCGATGAGACTGGAAGTTGCGATGCCACCCAGTAGCGCATTCGGGGCAATCTTGAGCTAAGGTAGCTGCAGCTGAGATCTCAATTCCGTGGAGGGAGATTTCCATAAAGACCCCATCAGTCCTGGCCTGCTTGTTAATTGTCCAAGAGGGAGTTTCTTTTTCTCAGGTCGCTGGCTCCCTCTACAGGCACTTGGAGGTACTTCAGTTCCCTGTTTTAAGACAAAAGCAAACCAGTTAAGATTGAGGGCCTTGCTGAGTTCTGGAGCCATCCTTGTGCCTAGTCATTGTACCAAGCTTCCTGTGGACCAGAAGCACATGGGCTACTGTGCACAGAGGGAAGATATGCAGCACTGGACAGGACTCCCTATGCCAGCTGACGGAAATTTTCTTTGACGCTGGTATCACATGTGCTCCAGTATGGACTAACCCCCTCCTGCCATAGGTACCCTTGTAGCTGGATACCAGAGCTATGCTGGCCTGGAAGGGCTATGACCAAGCTCTCTCTTTTCGCAGGAAGCATAGCCTGCAAGAAGCGTTGTCATCAGCAACTTCCCACCCCATCTCCCTGAAATGCCACTGCGGTCAGCAGCAAGCGCCAGGAGCTGCCAGTTTTCTACAAACCAGCTCATAGTTCTCTTCCCACCACACGGCTGCTTATTTTTAGGCAGCTCTCAGTCGCAGCAAAGGGAACTAAAACCCACCTCCATTGGCTTCCTCTGCGTGTGTGTTCATGTCCCTGGCCTTGTCTACATCAGTGTTTTTATTGGGTGCAGTTTGGGGAAGGCATAAAGGGAGCATTGTCCCCCACAGGGTGTGGGGGGGGAGGGGAAGAGAGGGAGGACACAAGGCCACATGCTACCCCTCCCCCTGCCAATTTCTGTGAGCACCAAGCTACCCTTGCAGGATTTGCTCTGCTTGGCCTGCTGTAGAATGGCGCCTCCGTCCTTTCTGTGCCTAACCCCCCACCTCTGCGGTATATCAGGCTCTCCTGGCCCCTCTCCCTGACAGCTGGGCCTGGGCAGGGAGCAAAAGGGGTGGGATGAAGCCACTTCTCCTGCCCGCGGCTGCTCCAGGTCACTGCCTTGATGCAGCGCGGTGACTGCCTGTGAGAGCCCAGCGGTGGAATTGGCAGCAGCACGTGCAGCAGGTAACTCTGGCGGGGCGGGCCGAGCATGGTGGCCCCAAGCCAGGCAGGGTATTGCTGCAGAAGGTGCCCGAGCAGGTTCCCTCTGCTCAGCCCAAGTTAGGGGCATTGCCCATGTTTTTCCTTCCACTGTGGCTTCGATGAGGGTGCAGCAACTTTGGGAAGAAGCCTTGTTTCGGTAAGTCATCCCCTGCAGGCTGGGGCTGGCCCCAACCCACAGGCAGGTGTCCTCTGCTCCTGAGCCCCAGCAGCTGGCAGGCTCAGCAATCATGGCCCAGGAAGGTAGAAGTGGAAGGTTTGTGGATCCAGAGGTGACACAAGGAGTCAACATAGCACAACTTTCACATTGGCTTCCTGACGGGAGCACTAGTGTGGACGGCAGCCAGGGCTCACCATCACGGTCACCTCGACTCACCCCGACCAGGTTTACAGCTGCCACTGAGCTGCAGATGTGCTAGTGCGACCTGCTGGGCTGTCTTACAGGTCCCCTTCTGTGCTGATCCATACTGGTCATGCATTGTTACAACTACTACATGCAGAGCCTGGACTCTTTAGCTCAAGCTGCAATAGCTCCTGCGTTTAGCTCGCAAGATCCTCTCTTAAATCCCTGGTATGTCAGCCGACGATGCTCATCAGGTCAGCTAGCAAGAGTCTAGCACAGAGCCTGTTTCTCTCAGAGCTGTCACAGAACATAGGACTGGCAGGACCTTGGTTGGTTTGTCTAGTTCGGCCCCCTGCACTGAGGCAGGACTCAGTATCATCCAGACCACCCCACCAGGAGTCTGGCTATCCTCCAAGGCCAGAGATTCCACAATCTTCCTGAGTAATTTGTTTCAAGTACTTAACTACCCTGACAGGAAGTTTCTCCTAATGTCTAAGATCAATTTCCCTTGTTGCAATTTAAGCCCATTGCTTCGGGTTCTGTCCCCATTGGACAAGGAGAACAATTTATCACCCTCCTCTTTATAACCACCGTTTACATACTTGAAGTTTTACAGACCCCCTGCTGCCTTCTCTTCTCCACACTAATCAAATCCAGTCTTTTCAATCTTTCTTTAGAGTTGTATGGAAACAGGAATTGAGAGAGACGGTGGTTTAGTTGTATTTTCACAACGATCCTGGTGACTATCAGAATTCTTATTTCCTCTTCTGGGGGCAGCTTCAAAGAACTCAAAAGGTTTTAATTTCACTTTTTATGTCTAGTCGTTCCCCTCCCCCCGCATACAAAAGGAAGGCATTCCAAACTACAGCTGCCCGTCACCAAACCACATGCAATGCTCACCACTGGGAACATGAGACTTAGCCACTGGGCTGGTTACTTGCTCATCATCCCTTCTAACTGAGGTCCCATCTCTTCTGCAACCTCCCCCAGCTGACAGCCTCCCATTCACAGCTGCTGGCCCCCTGTACCAGACTAGTGCCGCCAGCTGCCAGCTCTGAAGTGGGTGATGCAGCTGCAGCCTCCCCAACTCTGACGCTGTGGGAGGGTGGCTGGCACAGCCCCAGTCTCCCCAGCCCTGAAGTGCACATGGCACAATCCAGGCTGGGGCCACCTCACAGGGAGACTGGAATACCCATGCTGAGCAGAAATGTGGGGGTTGGGGGCAGCTTGGGTGCAGAGCGGGGGGTGGGGGGACATGGCCAGCAGTTTGAGGAGGCACAGCCTCCCCCAGCCTATGGTACCTGCCACCCATGTTGCTTGTTATCACAGTAATAGAAGCTTGTGATTGGAGGATGGCGCTCTATGGGTCTGTCTACTCTGCAGTCAGGGGTGTGACTGCAGCAGGTGCCGACTCACCTGCCCTATCTTTGATCTAGCTGGCTGGAATAACACGAATAGTGAAATCATGGCAGCCAGGGCTAGCTGCTTGTGCATAATCGTGCCGGGGACCCTGGGAATGTCCTGCAGTAGCAAGCTTATGCCACCATTCTTATTCCAGAGCTAGCTCTGGTAAATCTGTACATGCTGCAGTCACACCCTCCAGCTGCTGTGCATACACACTCTAGGTGTAGGGTCACCACCTTCAATGTATCTGACCAGCCTGGCCAGGTTTTTTTTTTTTAAACAGAGTTGCCAGAAAAATCACATCCTCTGCCAGCTTTTTCTTATATTGGCATTATTCTCACAACACAGGGGGGAACCAAACGTTAAAAGTTGCTGGCTCCAGCAGAAGACACTGTAACATTCCCATTTCTGCAGTTTAAGTGACAACCAACCAACCCTGTTGAGAACAGAGCAGCTGTCGGCCCCCTACCACACAACGGCACTGTGTGTGTGTGTGTGTGTGTGTGTGTGTGTGAGAGAGTGAGAGAGATTTGTTACGCGGAGACCTGCATTGTTATCCATCTGCCCAGTGGCTGGTGAAGGGGAGGGGCTGCTGCAAAGTTGCCTGCTGCAGGGATTGCGGGTGAGTAGGATGGGTGGTTTTTTTTCCTCTCAAAGGTAGTGACCTTAACTAAGTCATCTGCACCTAATACTTATGTGAACGCGCCTTCCATGTGCTTTACCAATATTAACTGAGTCAGCCACTCAACACCCTGGTGAGGTGGCAGGTCAGATTAGGAATGTAAACGGATAACCAGTTACCTATAAGCCTCAGCCTCGCAAGCTGATGCTGACTGGTAACTGGTTAGCCATTGCCCAGCCTTGGTGGAGCAGCCCAGCTGGGCCCACAGTGCTGCAGGTGGGCTGGTTAACCGATTAAACGTTTTTAACTGGTTGACCTTTCAAATGGCATTTTACATCCCCGGGTCACATCATAAACTCTTTGGCGCATGGCCCTTGCCTTCCTATAGGTTTGTGTAGCATTTTGCACCACAGCATCCCACCCCAAGCAGGAAGCGGAGGCATTTCTAGAATACAAAATAATACCGGCACCCATCTCCCGGGTGCACTTCGTTTTACAAACACAGATGAAGAAAAGAAGATCAAGACGTTGCACAATGCCACAGCCGAATTCGTCACCCCAGCCAGGGTCAGACCTTGGATGTATACTACATTATTCAACAGTCATGTGGTCAGTATTAATATTAGTCACCTTCAGGAGCACAGCCTCTCAACAGCTGTGCGCACAGAGCAAGGGGAGCTGGGCTGCTGCTCCCTGTCCCCAGACAGTTCATGAGTGGCTAGTTTTCTGCAAAAGCTGCTTATGCAGCTTTTAAAAAACAAGTCTGGCTAGGCAGCAACATCCGGCTCTTCATTTTCAGGCCCTGCATTTGTATCAGGAGCAGGGAAGCTGATGCAGGGCTCCTGAGCAACGTGTTGGGGAGTGGCTTAGTGTTCCTAGAAGGGGTGGGGCTTTGGACAGAAGCGATTTAAAGGGCCCGGGGTCTGGCAGCCTCTGAATTTCTGGGCCCCGGGGCAGCTGCCCCTTTTGTCCCCGCCGGTGAGTCTGATCAGGAGAGAATAAGGTGGAAAAATGGATGGTAGGGGCCACTTGCCCAAAGATACGTCGTGTCCCTCCCTCGCGTGCAACACCCAGTTTTCACCAAAGTCCATGCACACCCAGCTGTTAACAGTGACTCCAGAAAGACTGCTGCCCAGGGGTGGCCCGTGACTATAGGCGGACTCGGCCACCACCTAGGGCGCCACCTTCAACTGAGCACCCGGGGCGCCCGATGATGTCAGTCCATTGACATCTCTGCAGGTGGGGGCGCCAATCACGCGTTCTGCCTGGGGTGCCAGCTGCCGCAGCCCACCTCGGGCTACTCCTGCTGCTGCCCTTTTCAAGCTCGCCCCTCTGTACTAACGCTGGTGGGCGCTGCAGGTCAGGGAACTCAGCAAGGTTTGCACTTGCTTTTGAAGAGACTCCAAGACCTGGTGCACAGTGAGTACATGAATCTGAGCAGACTGAACATGGCATCGTGGGACCTGTTGTTTCCAGGGGCTGCAGTTCCATACTGAAGTCAGAGGATGTTGTCACAATCTGTTCCATCCAATGCTCCATGATATTCAGGCTCCTACCCACACAGTGCTCAGGTGGGCGAAGTCTCCGAACTCTCTCAGCTCATGCCAGGCTACACCTCAAGATATGGGCACATCTTAAAAAATATTACAGTCAGGCATCATGAAAGAGGATGGCCCAGCAATCAGGATACTAACTTATGACACAGGAGACCAGGGGGTCAAGTCACTTAGCTTCTCAGTGCAGATAAATGCGATAAAGTGCGTAGGAGGGTAAAATATGTATCGCAGGCAGTAGCAGTAACTACAGATCTTGATCTACACTCAGCACCATGCTTGTCATCTGACATAGGGGGAGACATGATTGGGCAGTTAAACCACCAAGAGATGCGGCTTTTATTCCTGTATTAATCACCAATTGGCTCTGTGCCTTGTTCCCCATTTTCCATACCTCCCTTTGTCAGAGGCTATGTGTGGATCAATTCACCGATGCTCGTAAAACACCCAGAGATGGAAACTCCTCCTGTAGGCGTGCTACAGAAGCAGCTGCCGTGGAATTCTCTTCTCTCACAACTAGTGAGTGCAGGGGAGGGGAGCAGATCCCTGCTTCCGGCACCAGCCCTGCAACACTCCTAGGCTGTGTCTACACTGGCCACTTATTCTGGAAAATCAGCCGCTTTTCCGGAATAACTTGCCAGCTGTCTACACTGGCCCCTTGAATTTCCGGAAAAGCACTGACGATTTACTGTAAGAAATCAGCCGCTTTTCCGGAATACTATGCTGCTCCCGTTCGGGCAAAAGTCCTTTTTCCGGAAAACTGTCCCAGAAAAGGGCAGTGTAGACAGCACAGTAGTGTTTTCCGCAAAAAAGCCCCGATCGTCATTTTCGCGATCGGGGCTTTTTTTCCGGAAAAGCGCATCTACATTGGCCATGGACGCTTTTCCGGAAAAAGTGCTTTTCCGGAAAAGCATCCTGCCAATGTAGACGCGCTTTTTCCGGAAATACTTATAACGGAAAACTGTTCGCTCTTGCAGCTGAATTGCTCTCTCTCTCGCTCGAGAAAGTTAGCTGTTGTTTTCCTACTCTGCCAATGGCAACTACCCTGAATACAGGAGCTAGGCTATGCACCGTGGGAAGCGGGTAGGCAAGGCTCAGGGAGGACGTATCTCCCCAGACAGCCAGGTGTGGCCCTGCCCTCACTCCACCCCCCAGGCTATGCCGTTGGGTTCCAGGGGCTGAGGTCAAGCTGCCTACCTTCCCAGGGCCATGTGCAGTACTAGCCAGCCTGGGGCAGGTAGCCACAGCGAGGGGGCTCTGGGTTCTGTGGGGCGAGGCCTCAGCTGGAAGGGGTGGGGCTGGGGATGAGCCTCCCACAACCAGCAGTTCATGCGCTGCCCATATTGTGCCCAGCTAGGACTCGCAGTAAAACCTTTACCGAGAATGATGGAGTCTCACACTCAGCCATGGAAATTCAAGGCTCAGGTGCTTGTGAGTTTAGCCTTTGTCCTTTCAACATCCTTATTCTTGCAGGGCTCGGCAGGCTGGTAACCCCCCTCTAGGCTCTGCGAAGGCTGATTCAAGCCTCTGTAGTAACCACAGCAAAGGGAAGAGAGCAGCCGGGTCCGGATCACACGGGTGCAGAGGACAAACATGATGCAGTTGGCACCTCCTTGGAACGTGTTCCCAATTCCCTGCAAGGGCAGGAAGAGAAAATTAACTCCAAGCAGTTGCGGGAGATGTCTCTTCCCCACCCCACCTCCAGATTCTCAATCTGGCCACGACAGTCACTGAACAGGCAGAGCATGGGTTTTGGCTTTAAGAAAGGAAGAGGATCTGGGACATCAGTCCTACACCAAAAGAAAACCCAACCTGCCTGTCTTCTGAGAGACACCCCCCACTGCTATCCTGAGCAGTCGGGAAAAACTGACAACTCACCTGCATTCGGAAGGGGACAGACCCACAGTCACATGCCCCTCCTAAGCAATCACCTGCATTACGAAGTCAAAGACAACCGATGCTCTGGCCCCATCAGGACATAGGGATATGGAGAAATGAGGGGAGAGAGATATACTAGGGAAGAGAGACCAGGAAAGCGCAGAGACAAGGAGAAAAAAGGAGTCAGGACAGAAAGCAAACCAGGGTGTTTAATAAAAAAAGAGTGAGAGCTAATGTTCCCACTAAATCTTTTTCATTCATGTGCAGAATAATTTAATGTGCACTAAGACATGCGAATGTGCACCACCCATAGAAACACAAACCTAGCTGTGGGCGCTCTGCTAATCAACTGGGCGGTGTTGCAATTTCTGCAGAGTGGCCGTACAATTGCACAGTTTACAAGGAACACTGGTGACAGCTGATCAGAGACAGACAGACAATCAAAGTGTGTCAAGAGATGGAGAGAGAAAGAGACCAGGGACAGGAAAACTAAGGCAGTTCTATTTCACAAAAGCCCTGCTTTACAGAATGGGTCATTTCTTTATGAATTCAAAGAGACTCGGCTCTAACAACTCCTCCTTAAACTAACCCCAAACCAGCGTGGCTTTGCAATGCCCTGAAGCACAGCAGCCCCCCATATCTCAGGCCTTCAATTATGATTTGGCTAAGGGAGTGCAAAAGATGCTTGTACAATTTGCAGACACACCAAGTGGGAAGGGGTTGCAAGCACATGAGAGAAGAGGATACAAGTTCAGAACCCCTTTGACAAATTGGAGAAGTGGTCTGCATTTCAGGAAGGTGAAATTCAAGAGACACACGCAAAGTACTTCTTCTAGGAAGCACAGCTTCACCCTCCCACAAGTGCTTTGTAAGAAGAAGTGGCAGAATCATACAGTATCCCGTTCAGTGTGCATCCTGTGCCTACGGCAGATTACATAGTTTGTGCACAGCATTCAGTGAGAACAGGAGAAAAGCTTCAATTGGAGTACCTTGTCCAGTTCTGGGCACCACACTTTAGGAAAGATCTGTACAAACTGAAGCGAGTCCAGAGGAGAGCAACAAAAAATAAAAACGATAAAAGGTTCAAAAAACCTGACCTACTAGGAAAAGTTAAAAAAAACTCTGGTCAGGGTTAGTGAGAAAAGACGACTGAGGGGAGATCTGATGATAGTCTTTGACTATGCTATAAAGAGGACTGTGATCAATTGTTCTCAGTGCCCACAGGCAGTCAAGAGTTTAATCAGTAGCCAGGGAATTTTGGTTAGATGTTTTCTAACCATAAGAGTAGGAAGCTTATTCCAGAGCTTAACAAGGGAATTTACAGGATCCCCACTGTTGAGGGCTTTTAAAGAGAGATTAGACAAATACCTGCTAGGCAGAGGCCATAAGTAGGGAGCATGGGGGGGGGGGGATCATGTGTCCCTTAGTCGCTGTGGGTGGGAGGGACAACCAGCAGCTGGCAGGGGGACTAGCGGGGATGGGAGGCCGACACCAGCAACAGGGGTCTGACCCCCCAACACTCACCTGCAGCAGCAAGGTTGGGGGGGAGGGGAAGCAGAGCAAGGCAGCCCCAGATACTTTGCTCAACCAGGAGAGGGGGTGGGACCTTCCCATACTCCCCGGTGGGAAGTAGAGCAATGTGACTGGAGGAGCAAAGCAAACGAAGGCCTCCTGGCTCCACTCCCCCCCGCTGCTGCCAGTGAGTGCAGGGGAGGGGAGCAGATCCCTGCTTCCGGCGCCAGCCCTGCAACACCCCTAGGCTGTGTCTACACTGGCCACTTATTCTGGAAAATCAGCCGCTTTTCCGGAATAACTTGCCAGCTGGCTTTGCCGGAATAATTTGCCAGCTGTCTACACTGGCCGCTTGCTTTTCCGGAAAAGCAATGACGATTTACTGTAAAATTGTCAGTGCTTTTCTGGAGAAACTATGCTGCTCCTGTTCGGGCAAAAGTCCTTTTCCGGAAAAACTGTTCCGGAAAAGGGCCAGTGTAGACAGCCCAGTAGTCTTTTCCACAAAAAAGCCCAGATCGCGAAAATGACGATCGGGGCTTTTTTGCGGAAAAGCACATCTACATTGGCCATGGACGCTTTTCCGGAAAAAGTGCTTTTTCGGAAAAGCATCCTGCCAATGTAGATACGCTTTTTCCGGAAATACATATAACGGAAAACTGTTCCGTTTTAAGTATTTCTGGAAAAGGGTGCCAGTGTAGACGTAGCCCTAGTCTCCCAAACCACTTCTTGGGGGAAAAAGGTAAGGAGAAGGCAGAGCAGAGGTGGGGAGGGGTGGGGGAGAAGCAAAGTGGGGGCAGGGTCTGAGGCAAAGGGGGATTGTCCAGCTCTTCCCCAGGCTGGGAGTGGGGGAGGCCCCCCCCCCCCCAGCTCCCTCATCATCTGTCGCCTCTGCTGCAAGAGATGGTCTACATTGGTTTGGTCCTTCTAAAGGACAGGGCTTTAAAGGCCCATCCCAGCCCTACCTTTCTATGATCTTGGGCTAGCATGATGTCTTTGCGGGCGGCCTGCATGCACAAATCATGCAGGCTATTTGCAGAGTCCCTGCACTGTTACTTCTAGCCACAAAAATGGCAGGGACCGAGAACTGCTTGCCTGAGACAAAGCCTGTTACTTCTCCCCCCCATCTTCCTTGTGAATCTGTCAGGGGAGCGCAGCGCCCAACAGGTACTTACGTGCAGGACCACCAGGACTGAATTTTGCACGGCATAGGAGTTGCAGAGGGTCAGGATGAACCGGACAGTGCTCCAGATGCGGAGGAAGATGAAGATAAGGGGGATGAGGATCAACTTCTTATCTGCTATGGAAGTCCTGGGCTGAAAGGCAGGAGCCCTGGCCAGTAGGGGGCGATATTCGGAGAGGGCTGCACGCTTCAAAAACAAAGAAAGAAAGAAAGTCAGACTCTGATATTCCAATATTAATTTATGGCAAATGCACAATCTGATGGCTTCTTGCCAAAGCCGATAAACCTGCCCTCGGCTACACTGTCAGCCAAAGAAATGGCCAGTCCAGACAGAGACTGCCCAAGTTGGGCTCGAGTCCTGTTGTTAGTTCTTTGAAACAAAGATTTTGGGACAAATTTTGCTCGTTAATATAAGCAACCCTTAGTGAAACCAAGAAGGCCATCCAGATGTAAAAGAAGGCAGAACAGGATACCTTGATATTTCAATATTCTATGAGAACATCACACCTACATTGCTAAATAATTAAGAACAGTTGCAGCTATAGCAACATGAACACCAGCAACACTTTACAAAATAGGTTCTCTGATTGTTGAAAAACCTGGGTTTCATTCCTGGCTCTGCCACTGAGTTGCTCGATGGCCTTTGGCAAATCACTTTATCTCAATGTGCCTATGAGATGGGTGGAAAATAGTGACTTGCTTTCATGAAACCAAAATCCAAATAAAAAAAGCCATTATGAAGAGTAAAGTATTAATTATTATTGCCTCTTTGGTCTCCAAAGGACTTAGCAGTTTCCATGATAATCCTTATGCTGAGAGGCAAGGAAGGATTATCTCCATTTTACAGAGGGGGAAATCAAGAGATTAAGGAACAGATCCTTCCCTGTCTAAATGAACAGAGCGCCACTGAACTGACACCGCTCAAAACCCAGCACAGGAGTCCAACAGAAAACTCTTCCTCCCCCTCACATGTGCTGCAGAGTATATAGAATGTTCTACTCTTCCCCCACCCCTATTCCTCCTGCACCTCCCAACGCTAGCAGCCCCACCAGGAAAAGGCCATTGTCCTAGAAGAGCTCAGTGCAATCACATATAGTGCTCACAGACCCCCTCCAAGGGCATCCGTAAACCCCCAGCCATTTGTACAGGGGGACAAGGCTCTCTGGGGAAAGACGACACCCTGCCAGCATTCTGCATGCCTGGCATAACCCAACTCCTCTCACAATCACGAGAAAGCACGTGTCGCAAACCCACACTGGCTTATAAGGCGCTCCAAAGCCAGCTGCACCCTGCTGGGGGGCGGAGGGGAAGAGAGCTGTGAGGCTACAGTCCCAGGGTTACCAGGCTCAGAACTGCTCCAAGCCACAGGAGAAGGGAAACCAGATGACCCAGCTTGCTATTGCCTGCAGCCCCTAGACCAAGAATCAGCTTTGACAACCGCCTGCATTCAGCCCGCATCCTGCACTGGAATCAGAGCCCAAGGCATACGAGGGAGAGGACAGTGCCTGAACACCCAGGACAGACGGGCGGGAGGGGAGCAGATCAGGTTTCCAGACAGTCACGCTGGCATCTTTGACAGCTGCTAGAACACAGAGTCTCGGAGACGGATAACAGGTGACCCACAGCTGCAAACTTGCTTAGACTCCTCTTCCCCTCTTTGTAGATCTCCAGGCACTGGGGATAGTCAAGTGTTTCCATACAGACGTGACCAGGTGATGCCCGATCTCATGGTAGGAAAGCCGGCCAGCCAGGTTTCCTGATCAGAGCCCAGAAGAGAAACCCCCCCAGGTCCGCATGTAGCAAACCCGTTTGCTCTCTGTGGTCTCTAATTACCACCCCAACAAGCAGATCTGTCGCTGTGCTGGCAGTCAGGGGGAAGACATTTTTAGAGCTGGCTTTTTTTAAATCCATAATTTAGGTCAAAAATAGGAATCTGTCCTCTATAGTCCCTGTGCTCTGCCACTGCGGCATAGCTGAGGTTTATCTTTCCACATTATTCAAATGCTAACCTGGCCCTCTGAATTCCTGCGCTCGCCAGGGATTTCAGTTATATTTGCTGTTTAGATTGAAAGCTCTTTGGGGCAGGAGCTCAATTTTTTTATTAGGTGTGTGTATCCAGTGCCCAGCACAGTGCGGCCACTAAAAAACACACAGCACTTTTTGCCTGGCTAAGGATCATTGACCCCACCTCAAGGGGCCAATGAGTGAATGTAAGTGGATGCAACTCCACTGAAGTTGCCTACAATTACACCAGGTCTGGATTTTGCCCCCTAACATCCTACTCCAATATTTACATTCTACCTTTCCATGCCCCTCCCTGTTTACTGTTTTTAAATGCCCTGTTTATCTCATGCTAAGTCACTGGGTAGCAGTGCTGTGCACTGTTGCTCCCCAGAGGTGGCTGCATTTCAGAGGTAAGCGAAGTAGTTCTTATTTATGCACTTGCTAGTGTGCCTTGAGATCTGTAGGGATATAACAATACCATCACCATTCAGCCTTGTTTAAAGCTAAGTAGCCAGGGTACCAACCGCCCTACTGATGTGCTTCTTGATGAGGATGTAAAGGACTGGTAGGATCACATATGCCAGCAACTCCCACAATTTCCCTGCCAGCAGCATCCACAGGATCCGATCCTCCGCTTCCAAGTTGATCCAGCACCAGCCCACAGAGACGTTCGATGCATCATAACCAATCTTCTTCAGAGCGACAGCAGCCACCGTGATGCCAAGTGGGACTCCCCAGCTGAGAGGAGAGAACAGGAAGGGGAGAGGACAGAGTTGGGTTCACAAATCACACACAATTCAGAGCAGGGGAACAGGTCCCAGGCAGTAAACAAACCCCCATCGCTGAGGACACTGAACTCTCCTTGGATAATCAGGTGGTGATTCCAGCACCTAGACAGCTGGGAAATCCCATCAGCACACAGGGGAGCCCCATGCTGCAGCAAGGCACAGTGCAGGTCAACTCCCTTGGTTTAATTCTGTCTTTGGATCTGCCCACCAGCCGGAGACGTCCCTATTCATCTACCCTGGCAGCTGTGTGAAAGAGCCACCATGGCATTTCATCCCCCTCCTTCCTCTTCTAGTCCCTTGTTTTCCCCACCGTCACACTGAAGCAGAGGTGCGTTTGGTTTTTTAAACAGGGCAATGTGGCTTGCTCCGTTCAAGAGAGGCCTGATGCAGCAATTACATCATCCTGGCATTTCTTCTCGTCTCTAGAGACAATCACTGGGATGACTCAGGGAGATCATTGAGTCAGAAGCGCAGCAGATCTTCGATCTGATGGAAGGAAAAGCCAAACACTGGGAAGAAAAAAAAACCCTCAAAGAGTGGGGAAAGAGGGATACAACTAAACCCGCCGAAGGGAACTACATAGGGTGGTCGATCAGTAACATTGATTACTTCCTTTTTTTAGGAAGAGCAGTTTTTTGGAAAAAGGGTTTTTTTCCCCCCCTGAAAAAAATGCATCCAGACTACTTTCACAAGACCTGCTTTCAAAAAAGCAATCGGAAGAAGATATGCAAATTCGCGTGGAATTTGCATATCCTCATTCGAAAATAGAACGTAGACTAGACATGCCCTCAGAGATCTATAATTTGCTACTCCCACCGCAGGCGAACAGCAATATAATCTTTCATCCTTTTTCTCTCTGCAGCCCAAACTCTTGAGTTCTACAAGAAAACCTCTGAGACACTCGGACCCTTTTCTTGGCTCTTCACTGCCAAATTGCAATTATCTGCAGTAGCTCTATACTCTTCAGTCTTTTCCCTGAAAAACACACAAGCACCTGAGCTTGTGTGTATGACAATTCTGCTCCAGTTGGAAAATTCTAGAGAGTTTTCAAGCATGGACAATGACATTGGGCACCTACATCTTGCATTTAGACATCTAAATAAATAGAGGAATCAAACATCCTACTGCTTCTTTGAGCAACTATTTTGGAAAACTGGACACATGGTAGCAACTTTGGGGAGAGGGGGCAGAATGTACAAGCATATTTTTAGGGAAAAGCATTGGTGGCAAATACAAGAATTTATAAGAACACAGAGATGAGCCTGATGCACAGAGCTCAGACCCAGAGAGGAACCTTCCAAAGTTTCAGGGTCTTCAGAGAGTGTTCTGTTTCAGGATCACATCTAGTAGATAATTCCAGCCAAAACCAGAAGGCAAATGAAGTCACGAGACAGTTTGGGCAGCTCTCAAAAATCCATAAATGAGAACCACAAGAATCCACAGACTCAAGCATACATCCCACCCAACATATAGTGCAAAGGACAATCCTAGCCTCTGATCCAGCTAGCTGTGACTCTCTCCATTGCAAAAGACCAACCCACATTTACTTGGGACCAAAACCTGGCCCTGCCACTAGGGATATCAAAATTAGAATTATTGACTAATTGAATAGTCGATGGAATTTCCATCGACTATTCGATTAGCTGATATGGGCGCTTCCACTTTGAAATGTTTCAAGAGCCCAGCCGGCTGTTGCTACATTTCAAAAGGCGAAGGTGCCGTGCGTTCTATCTTTGAAATGTACGAATCCCTGATGGGGACCGTGCATGTTTCAAAGATTGAAACGTTGCATGAAGGGGACTCTTGTACATGGGGCCAGCAGGGGACTGGGGCGTACCGTCACAAAAAAAAGCACTGCATCCATCTATCCATGGGGTGCCTGGTGCTGCGGTTTGGGCTCAGCTCATCCTCTCCCACAACATTAAATGAGAATTTGCCATGGTTGGCAATTCCTTCAGCATTCAAGGATAGTTGCTTTCCATAAAACAATCACCACTTATCAGTGGTGGACCTGCAGGTAGCTAATGAGACCAATTCAGGATCCCCAGATCTTGTCCCAGTTGGGGCAGGAACTTCCCAAGGGAAGAGACAGATCTGGATGGAAGACATCTGTACGGGACTTCTTCGAATGTGCAGTCACTGCTGCACACATAGTGGTTGGCAGGAGGAGGATCATAATCTAACAACAAGGACACCAAGGTGGTTGGAGATCTTCATTATGCTGCAGCCTTCATCCACCTTCACAGCTGTTGAGAGAAATGATTTCTTCATCCGCCTGCCTCTGAAGGCAGGGTGGGGTCGGGAGCTGTTTGCCTGGACTTTTACCTTCGACCTTGCTGCCTTGGATGACCTCACAGGAGTGCGGAGATTCCTAGGTGAAATGCTCTCAGGGTCACAAAAGCACTCAAGTTTCTCCACCACACCAAGCCCGTCATTCAAACAGCAGAAGCAAAGATGTTTCAGAAAGATTTTGGCAGCTGTAAGTACTAATAAAGCGGATCCCAGGCCCCCCTTTGAAAATACTTCTGCAGTAAGATGTTCCACATGTTCTCATTCATGAAGGAGTCCCTTGATGCACTGGCTTTTCAGAAATATTCAGACAAGTACTGAGTATTTGTGAAAATGGCTGTTGAATCCCAAGAGTTTCGAACATCTTGGCATGAACAATCGCTTGCCTGAAAATTATTGCCTAAGCTTGTGTTGTTCACTACTTTATCATTCTCCAATTTTATAACATATGCTCATCCAGTCAGGAAGCAAAAAATAACACCACGTCTATGTGACAGAGACGACCAATCACACACTCCATGAATATGGGGAGTGAACAGTTCACAAGTCACCGCATAGGCTGAAGAGTTGCAGCCAGTGAATATTTCTAGATACCAGGATGGACTCATAAATGGAGGGGAGTAAATTCCTGATTATTGTTCACAATAACTGCCCCTGCTGTGGCTGAAAATGAGATTTGATTGAAATCTTTGAAATGTTTCCACTTTACTGAGCTTCCCAGCTACTTAAGAGTAAATGAACAATGTGGGTCTGAACAAGAGAGGTGTCTACCAATGTGAATCAGAAACCTGGGTGCACTGGCTGTTTCTAAACATAGAAAATTATGGCTGGGGACACTAAACTAATTCAGTTTCTGTATTCCTCAGTTTCCCTCACTCATCAAATGAGATAAGCTGTGCTCCCCTATTTTTGTAAAGCACTTAGTAGTGTTGCCTAGGTTAGAACAACAGACTAGACCCTAGGAGACCTTCATTCTATTCTCAGCGCTGCCACCAGCCTCCTGCTGAGAGATTCTGAGCAAGTCACTTCCCCTCTGTGCCTCAGCGTCCCCACCTGTAAAATGGAGATAATGATACTCACCCTCTCTGTAAAGTACTTTGAGACACACTGAGGTCAAGTGTTGCAATTTGCGTTATTATATAGGGACTCACGAAAGGCTGTTACAGATCTGGTCAAGTGAAGCATAAACACCCGACTGGTGCTGCCTTACTGTGTAAATACTCGGACATGTATGCAGCCACGAATGGTACTCTACCTAGTAACAGCGGGTGATGCTCAGCAGACACACTCAGACCTAGAACAATTAGTCCAGAAGAAATGTCCCCAGCTATTACTAGCTATCAGGCAACAAGCTAAGTATTGGTTTTAATAGATACCTGCTAATATTAATACACTCAGGTGTGTAATATACAAACATGGTATTAGGTTATGTAAGTGGGGGAGGCCAATACTTCAAGTTCTGTGCACGGGTCTCTTCAGGAAACTTTAAAAGCTGAAGTTCCCTTTGCTCCCAATGGACACTGAAGAATACACAGCACTTTTGAATCAAATCAGCCATTTGCCCTGGTATCTTCAGCATTCACAAGATCTGTGGGCAGTCACTGGCGGGCTGCTGCCTGCCACCTCAGAGGCAGCTGCATTTCAGTTGTGCTGTATGTATGTCATTAGCCAAACGCTTTGGGATCCTTTGATAAAAAAAATATTTCTCTTCTATTCCACTATCTTCACTTTCTCTTCCTACCAGCCTTGGTAGCCAGCAATTGTGGGGGACCAATATCAGATCCAGTCATTCTAGATAAGTGGTTCCCAAACTTTTTGGCATCATGCCCACCCCTTTTTTATTTTTGAAAAACTCTCACACCCCCTCCCCCCAAAAAAAAAAAAAAAAAAGGAAAGAAGGAACAGGGAAGCAAAACTTGATGGGGGGAGGGGGGGGAGGCTGGGGCACACACCCCAGTTTGGGAATCCATACTCTAGATTGTTGAGTGTATTTGGTTTGTGCATCACCAGTACAGTACAGCACTTTCTGTCACGAGGGAAAGCACCTTTCATGAATGCCTGTGACTAAGGAGTTCCACGCTACAGCACTACTGATCAGGTGCTTGCAGTCAACTTGATCTACCCTGTCAAAGCCTTTGGTGAGACATCCAATAGGCCAAAGCAAACTGCAACAGATTCTTACATGTTGCCAACAGCACTAGGGAGTTTATGGACAATCACACCCTATGAAAACAATCTGTCACTAGTACTGTCACAATAAGTTTAAGAGTAAGTTTCAGAGTACTGAAATCTGAGACTGGTAAAATTATACATTTACACAGACCAGTATTTGAAAGCATCCCAAAGTGCACTGCAGACATGTCTGATACATTAACATATACACATGCTAATTGCTTAGCTCTCCAATGGAATGCAGCCACTTCTGGACAGCAGAGACACAACCATTCTACACAATTACAACAGAAGACCAAGAATATTGTGCCCACATGAGATTCTCTCTGGGCTATTAAGAGAATAAGAACATAATTAACTTGGAATTTTTTGGCCAGGATCCTAGAACTAACACACAAATTGCAAATATTTAAACAAACTCAAAACTAAATCCGTTGTCTTGAGCCTAGCTCAACAAAACTGTATATGTATGATGGAGCTCCCCAGATTGGCTGTTAAAACTAAGCATGTGTTGCCACTTGAGTCAATAACCAAGGAACCAGTTTGGCCGGTTTCATCTAAAGCAACAAGCCTATTTCCTTAACAGGAAAAAGTCAGGATACAACCATCCAGCACATTCAACTGTCATAGGGACAAGTCTAATGGATTTTAAACAGTGTGAAAAGAGAGTTGCAACTCCGTTTCCCATCCTGAGATGCAGGCAAGCACAGGATAGCATCTGCCTTTTTAAAAATGTCGACCCTTTTACAAAACCAACAAGGAGTCCTGTAGCACCTTAAAGACTAACATCGCCAGCCGCGCGGTTCTGCGCATGCGCAGATCGCTCTGTGCCAGCTCTTCCGGGTTGTAATCTTCTGGGTTGTAATCTACTCGCCACAGGCGAGTAGATTACATTATTTCTCGAGCCCTGGGTATAAAAATTACTTTGTCAGATGCATGGAGTGGAAATCACAGAGGCAAGGAGTTCTATATGTATAGAAACATATCAAAAGAAGGGAGTTACTTAGGAACAGGTCGGTTCAGTCCGGGTGGATGTGGCTCACTCCCAACAGCTGATGGGAAGGTTGACCAAGAGAGGGGAAATTGCCTTTGTAGTGAGAGAACCATTCTAAATCTTTATTCAGTCCTAATTTAATCCTGTTAAACTTGCAAATGAATTGCAGCTCTGCTGTTTCTCAAGTCACAGCTACCCCTCTGAGACTTGTAACCCTTTTACTGGTAATTTAATTCTGATCAACCCCAATCTTGCCATGTGTACCCTACACACAGCTAGTCCCCTATGTCTGTATGGAATCTTTATTGCCAGTGCATATCAAGGCCTTGGTGAGCTATCACAAAGATGCCTAAACTCTTATCTAATCGACCATTAACCCCTAATCATGCTTCAAGGATCCTAATGATTTTATCTTGTCTTTAACTCTTAATTATAACAGCTTATCTTTAAACTTAAAAAACAACAAAGGTCTGGTAGCACTTTATCGACTAACAAAACATGTAGATGGTATCATGAGCATTCATGGGCACAGCCCACTTCTTCAGATGAAGTCCCCTCTCACCCGCCCTTCTATTTATTTCTCACCACCTCCTCCAGTATTTGTTAATTTGTGGCTATTCCAGATTTGACCTGCTTTGTTGGCTAAGGGGTTCTGAACAGTCTACAAATGACAATTCAGTCTGGCTAGTTTCAGAGGAGTAACCGTGTGAGTTTGTATCTTCAAAACCAATGAGAAGTCCTGTGGAACCTTAAAGATGAACAGATTTCTTTGGGCAGGCACTTTTGTGGGTAAAAGCCCACATCCTGAATCTGACAAAGTGGTTTTTACCCACAAAAGCTTATGTCCCAATAAATCTGTTCATCAATTCAATCTGGGAAATGGCACTTTGGACCCTTGCAAAACAGCAGACAGCGTCCTTCCCAGGTTGTACTTTCGTAGTCAAGTTCTATGCTACAACAAAAAGGGGACGGGAAAGAGAACAGGGTGTGGTGCTAGGCAGCACACGGAACAAGCCCCAACTGGTGCATGCTTTCCTCCTGGACTTCTTGCAGAAGATTTAAAGCTGGTAAAAATATTTCACAGGTTTTGCAGGGTCATTTATGAAGCAGAATCCAATAATTGGATTTGGATGTCAGTGACCTGCCTCGTCCTCTGAACATAGCAAAGTGTGAGCTGAACGATGCCAAGACATATTGCTGACGCATATTAGGGCAGAGAGAACATGGCGATAGGACTATACAGAGTGTGAAAATAAAACCACGCAAGGTTCACAAAGAGAGGAAAGCTAAGCTTCTCAATCTTCTCTCCCCATGCCAGCATTCCCTCTCATTTTTTCCCCACCCATGTACAGATACATTGTACGGTGTGTACCACCAGTAGAAACACATACTGCTGGCTCTGCTAATCAGCTGGGCAGCACCTGAATCTCCCCTGGGGGGCTGTCCAAGAGCTCAGCTTACAGGGAATACTGGTGGCAAAGAACTGTCTTAAATTCTTCGCAGGTTGCACGCTGCTTTGCAGCCATTAATCAATCCATCCTTACAATCTCCTCGCCTCCCCTCGGTTAGGTTAGGAAGTATTAAACAGATGGAGAAACTGAGGCGCGGACCATGGTCCCATAAATCACGGGCCAAGACAGGAAAAGAACAAACAGGCCAGATTCTGCAGAGACTCATTCATTCTTATCAAGTCTGATGAGACATGAGTCCTTACAGAATTTGGACCCACGTATCTTGCCTCCTATTCCTGTTCCCACTAGCCTGCCCCTTCTCTCTCCATAGTTTCCATTCCCTACTGCCATCATTTTCTATTTATTTGAAGTCAGAATGAAACCCCTCCCCTCCCCAAACCTGTAACATAAGGTCACACATTAGTCACACACATTCTCTGAGCTACCAAGCAAACTTTCGCAAACTTTCTGATTTCTACTCAGGTAGAGGTTACACTTGGATGATAATTCAAAGAGATAGGGTAGGAATTCAATTTTCTTCTCCACTTAACCCTTAGACTTGTTTTCTCTGACTTGTCTTTTTGATTGGCACAACCATGTTAACCAATCGTCTGCAAAATAGTGCTGTTTGCAAGGACAAGATGACAATTTGAAGCATTCAACAAAGAAAAAAAAGACCTCCAGACCCACTGTTTGGCTTGCCTCGGAGGGTCTTTTTAACTGTTTCCTTTTCCATATAATTTATTAGAAAAACCTGGCAGCCCAAAGCACCAAAGGATCGCTGTCAGGCACAGCGTGGAGGTGGCACATGATTACACAAGCATGGATTGCATAATGAAGGCTTTTATTAAACATGATGTGGAAAATCAGCTAGCTAAACAGTAAACACTCTGGCCAAAGTTAAACCCTGAGCTAGTCTGTTTTGCTTTCCTTCTGAGATGCCAAACAGCTTTCTGCCTGCTTTTCCAGCAGCCTCCTCATTTTAAAACTGCATGCGCTGAAAGTTATAAGTTACAGGTGCAGGGGGAGTATAGAGAATTTAGGTAAATACGCTCTAAATGAAGGACTTCGTCATTAGAACAGAGGCCTCTATGCTTTGGATTCATGTGGGTGTTCTAGTGGGACACTCAGAGAGGAAATCAGAAGTACCAGGACTCCTGGGTTTTGTTTCTTGTGTCTGCTAGATTCGCTGTCTGACTTCCTGCAAGTCATTTCATCCCTCCGCATCTCACTTTCCTCGTCTGGCTTTAATGACAGCCACCTCCCAAAAACACTGAGACAATTGTTAATGGCCACAAAGCTCTGGCTTGAAAGAAGCTAACAAAGGGCAAAGTAGGCTCAGCAGCTCACCACCCATCCTGACAGCTTAAGGGGAAGACAATGGGACCCAGCCCTCCTACCAACCAACCAAGCATCCAGGGATGGATACCCAGTGGCTCTCAGTTGCACTTCTTGGCTGGAATGAGAGCCCCGGGTGACAGAGGCGACTGGTGCCTGTGGGGAAAAGGGGTGCAGGGAGGGCCACCTTGAAGAAGGAGGGCGGCGGGGGGAGGCACCCTATTTAGCCATTAAAATTTTAGCAGAGCACAGGAGGGTGGCGCACATCCCAAGTGCTAACAGGCGTCACCTACACAGGGTGAGGGAAACACGGGTTGTGTGGCCCAAACTCACCTCATGACATGGAAGAAGCAGAGCAGGCCCATGCCGGTAGGCGTGCCCCTCACGATGGTGATGTACAGGTAGAGGGCGATGGCCATGGTCCAGAAGAAGGAGCTGGTGTTGGAGAAGGTGGACAGGGCGCCCTGCAGCACGCAGTCCCACGAGGACGCCTCGAAGTCCTGCAGCACCCCGTAGAAGTAGGAGGCGGCCGAAAGGAGGTCGGCCAGGGACAGGTAGAGCAGGAGCTGGCGGGGACGCGTCCGCAGCTCGGGCCAAAGGGCATGGGTGAAGACCAGCAGGCTGGCACCCAGGAAGGAGAGGACACAGGAGACCAGCACGATGATCCGCTCAAAGGGGTGCAGCTCCGTCGGGGGCATGGCCCCCATGGGCATGGGGGAGTGGGGCATGGGGGGGGCAGGGCGCTCTGGGGAGCAGGCAGAGGGGAGAGAGCAGGCAAGGGGGAGGAATCAGCAGACTGGGAAGGAAAACGAAGGGCTGGAGGAGGAGGGGAAGCCCGGGGAAGGGGCCCGGCGGAGGGGAGGGGCAGGCAGCTGCAGAAGGGAACAGAGGAAGCCGCCAGCGAGGCGGGGCGGAGCGGGCTTCCGGCTGCCCGGGGCGCGGAGGGGGCGGCTGCTGGTGCCGGTGCGTTTCTCAGCCCTGCCGGAGCCACGCGTGTCTGCGCCGGCCGAGAAACCCACGCCCCATCCGGGCCTGCCCCTCACCTTCCCTGCAGCGCTGGGTGCTTCCTCCGCCCCGCCCCGGGAGCCTTTCCTGGCGTGCAGCCACCTCTGGGGCGGAGCCCCTCCGGCCTGCGCGCGGGTGTGAACACTCCACACACCCCGAGAGCTGTGCTGAGCCCGGCCCCTGTCCCCCAAGGAGAGGGGGTCAGAGCACCGGAAGAATCCATTCAAACGCGGGGTTAGCCCCCTCTGGGAGGGGACTTGCCTACATCAGTGGGAAACCCCTTCTCTCCAGTGGAAGCAGCTACACCAGTGTTTCCCGACCTTTTTTTTTTATATAAAGTACCCCCTTTTAAAAAATTAAGTATTTATGTACCTACAATTTTCAGACAATTTTTTTTTCATAACTTGAAATGGCCAGGAGAAGGTTAAGGAGGTAGAAGCTCTTTTACTGTGCAATTAACTAGCATCGCAATAAACGGAAAGCCAGGGGACATCTCACATCACTGTCCCTACCATTTACCAGCTTTGACTCTTCACTGGGCATATAAATATATCTTATCAGACTTTTGCAGGGGCATTTTGTTTAGTCAGTTGCTTTTAAAGCAAACTATTCCAGTAGATTTTTTGTATGCACACAGTGAATTAGAACACTGGCTAGTCACTTATTTTTAGTCAGTTTCCAAACATTTCTATTGATTTGACAACTGTCCCATTTCATATGTCTGACAGTAGGAATTGTAGCTAGAGAAAAACAGCTGTTCATGTGCTCTGGGTTAGGGGGCAGTCATCTCTAGATTACATGAATGCAGTTTGGTACTGTTCATCTTATGTGCACACAAAAAAATCACACAAAAGCGGAAGGATACAACCCAATGAGGTTCTTACAATAAATCTATTGAAGTTAGGAGCCTAAATATCTTTGAGGATCTAGCCCGCATGCCACAATCTGATCCATTTGAGTAGGTCTTTGCTCATATAGGGTACGTCAGACTGAGGCGCAATTGCGGGATACATCTGGTATCCTGAAATAGCATTTTCCACAACTTTACAGCATGCCCATTATTTCGAAATGCAATTGAAATAACGGGCGTGCTAGTCAAATGTTCCAGTAAACCTCATTCCACGAGGATTAAGGGACTTGTCGGCATAGCAGTCTATTTCAAAATTTGGTGCTGTGTAGACAAATAAACAATCTCACAATAAGCTCTGAATAAGCTATGCAGTTTATACCTTTAGGGTGTGTCTAAACTACATGGCTCCGTTGATGGAGCCATGTAGATTAGGCTGATCAGCAGAGGGAAATTAAATTTAAATGGCTGCCGCGCTGAGCCGACAAACAGCTGATCACCTGTTTGTCGGCTCAGCGTGCTAGTCTGGACGCTCCCATGCCGACCTGAAAGCCCTTTATCGACCGTCCCGTTATGCCTCATAGGATGAGGTTTACGGGGGGGGGGTCGATAAAGGGCTTTCATGTCGACAGGGGAGCGTCCGGGCTGCCCTGATCTGCTGACAAACAGCTGATCAGCAGAGCGGGGCAGCCATTTAAATTTAAATGAAGCCACGATTATTTAAATTGCGGCTTCATTTCCCTTTGCAGAACAAACAAATCTACATGGTTCCATCGACGGAGCCATGTAGCCTAGACGTACCATTAGAGTCCCAAGGAATCCAACAGGGTTCCCACAGACATGTAGAAGTGTGACTGCGTGATTCAGATTGCAGGATCAGTGCCCTAGCTGAATGTGAGATCATACAATTAATTCAGATTTCACAGTTGCTCATTATAAAAGAAGCTTGACAGAATTTGTTTTTTTAAAATCTAATTTTGGTAGATAATGTTTATTTTAAGCATTTTAAAATTTTGTATCAATTTAAATTTTTAGAGGTGAGGGAAAGTCACAATAATTATTTAATGACATGAGATACTGAGATTCAAACACCTAAAGCTCCCAATCATTAAAACACAACTTGTCGATATCATGTCCAAACATCCTTTAATCAAACTCAGCATTTTTCATACTTTGCCTATCTGTAAATTTTGATGCTTATTAATGGAAATATTTTTTCTTGGGCTTGTGTGTATATAGTGAAATGGACATTTACTGAGAAAGATCTAATCTTCCAAACCTACTTATCAAACATGTGCAATTTGAAACTGACAGTGGGGCAGGATGAGGCATGGGGTCACTAGCTTTTTCCTACTTTTAAGATAGACTTGGAAGGGCAGTGTGATGTCTGGCTGTCCATCTAGTGCATGGGTTCCCAAACTGGGGGAGTGTGCCCCCCCCGGGGGGTGTGAAGAAATTCCAGGGGGGGTGCGAGGTGACCCATTTCCTCTTCCCCCGTCAATTCCCCCCCAAGAAAGAGCCCGGTCCATCCGTCCGCTCGGGCATCCGCTCAACAAGTTTTGCTGCTATATTTTTTGGGGTGGGGGTGGGGCGTGAGGGTTTCTCAAAAATCAAAAAGGGGGTATGATGTGGAAGTTAGGAAACCACTGTTAATGGTGGACAACCCGTGGCTCACGGGCCCCCCTGCGTACCTCCTCCTTCATGTGGCTCTCGCACACTGGGGCACCACAGCCTGCACTTCCTACTCCTCCCTTTCTCCCTCCCTCCCAGCACTTTTGGAGCATGCCAAGTGTGTAATGCTTGCTCCATTCCCGTCCCTCCCAGAGCTGGAACACGGAGATTCAGCTGTTCACAGCTGTTCCAGCTCTGGGAGGAAGGGGGAAGAGCAGGTAAGTGCAGGGCTCCGGTGCCCCTGTGTGGAAGAGACACATGGGAGAGGAGGGCAGGCAGGGGAGCTGTAGGCAGCGGGTAGAGCCTGAGGGGGCTGTAGGTTACTGCTGCCCACTGAGGTGAAGGAAAGCCACTCATACGGCCCACATTCCGTTTTTAGTCGCCCATCACTAATCTAGTGAGTCCATCTCGACTGCCAGTTTGAGAATGCAGGTGCTTCAGGGGGAATAACATACTATAGACTATAGAATCTGTCAGGTAACATGTAAGGTCACAGGACTGGAAGGAATGACGGACTGGCTGGAGAGATTGTGGTTAAGCTGTATCTGAATGCATAATGCTAAGGCTGCATCTTTGCCCAAACACTGTAAAATAGCGCGTGGGGGGGCGGGGGGGGGGGAGAAGGGGAATCAAGTCTGGCCCTCCACACCATTTTTAGCATTTCACATGTCATTTGTAAATAGGATTTCTTCAGTCATGTCAAGGGTGATGCCCTCAGGCAGATCTGAGTTGAAAGGAGTGAGGAAGTTTTCAAAATAAGCTGTTTCTGAAACAAAAATAAATCTGAACATTCCTGTAAACAGTTTAAAGAAATTGTCACTTCCCATCTAAACTAAGCCAGCAAGAGGGATTTTTGTAGAAACTTTCCACGAATAAAATATCAGTTTCGGGCTGGGAAGAAGGTACTTTTTGGAAATCTATCAGCAACTGACACAACGAGGGAAGTTCCCTCTTTTGGATGAGACATAAACCAAGGCACTGACCACTACTGGCTGTTGACTCAAAAGCTCATGGCACTTTCTTCAATATTTGAAGTTGAGCAACTACATTCTGTGTTGTGATTTTCAAAGGCATCTTCAGGTGCTTTTGAAAAATGCAGCCTTCAAGTCTGCTTGTTTTGTGAGAGGATGGGGCTGTCTGGGAGCCAACCAGCTTGGTTACATTCATGAAATTTGCTAGACTGGAATGGAAGGTGTCTTTGGAGAAATAACTGGCTATTTGGGGTAGAGTGGGGAAGAAAAGATACACTTCCCGCCATTCCCTCAAATATGCCTCAAACTTATCTCAAAGAGGGCATGAAAGAGGGCAAGAAGGAACTGGGGAGTCCATGGCCAATTAAGACCTTGGCCTCCAACTGAAATAACTTGTATGAGGGATAAGAGAAATAGCACCAATCACAGAGGTGCACAGCTGGGAAAACATGGAAGGTGGCACCCTTTGTCTTGTTGCAGTTATCCTTTAAAAACTCTTCTCTAGCTGCCCTCTTGCCATATGCCTATTTAGAACTCAGATCAATGATTCTTCTTATCAGCCTCAAGATGTCACTCTTGTTCCAGTTGCCAGCAGAGTTAAGCTTTATTCCAAGAAGCAGATGTTCTCAAATAGTTTCACTGGACAAATACCTCCCGATGATAACATGATCATAAATAAAGTAAAGTGTGTCGATGGCCAATATTCTTACCCTGATCATCCTCACTCGCCTCACCTGGCCTGACACTGCAGATTAACTAATAAATATGTACTGAATTTTCAGGGCAGGCAAGGTCCCAGCCTAAGGATAGAGAATCAGGTGTGGGAAAGCAGAGTGCAATACAGATGAGCAAAGAAATGAATACCAGTATAAATCTTAGAGAAAACCCCCCAAAACACCACGCAGAGAGAATTAAAGGTTTTTTTCCCCCCTCCATTTCAATTCCATTGTAGTTGTGCCCTATAATCATTGTGCAGTGACCCCCGCAGGCAAATTGTTGTACTAGTTTTCTGCATTTTACTCCTAGCCTTGTGGAACCCAGTCTACAAGCAAGCAGAGTACCAAAGGACAGGCAAATCCCTCACCTGAATACAGACAAAGCATTCCAGCAGCTCAGCACATGTGAACAGCCGTCCTGAAGAATAGAAGATGGAGTTTTGCATGTGTTTCAGTGCTGTTCTGAATTGGGGCCTCATCTGTGTGCATTAAATGGGCATGTACATGTTCATTGGAGCAACTCTGTCCTATGAAATGCTCACATTTGGAAGCATGGGTCAAAGTCCACTTTCATTGTAACTTCCCAGTCTATCGCTAGCTACCTGCAGGCGTAGGCCAGTCACAGCGGATGGGGGATATTTCACCCTTTCTTCCGACATCCCTGGGGCTGCACAGAGAAAGGATGATAGACAAGATGGGCCAC